GTGATGATGGGGCCCTTGAATATTGTTGCCCAGGGTACAACAAAGTGTTAATCTGGCCCTGGACTTAAGACAACATTTCCGAATGTTTATGTTGCACTAAGACTGTTTTTAACCTTACCTGTATCTAACTGTGAGGGTGAGAGGTCATTTTCTGTTTTGAAACGAGTTAAAAATGAGCTGAGGACCACAATGTCTCAGACACGGCTCTCTGCACTTTCTCTCTTAGCCATTGAACATGAACTTGTTAGTGGCCTTGATTTCGAAGAGATCATACATCAGTTTGCACAGTCAAAGTCCAGAAAAAAGCCAGTATAAGATGCCAAATGAAAGCAAACATGCACTTCCTCATTATTTAGGATTAAAATTTTGTGTTTTGCCAGATTATATACCATTTATTTTATCTCGTCTTCTTCAGAGAAATTGTATTGTGTAGTGTATTTATGTAGCACTAAAATGTTTGACTGGTTAATTGTGCTATAGCATGTTGTTATATTTTAAAACAAGTTCAATGAGCAGAGGACCAAAATGTTGCTTGATCTGTTGTCTGTGGTCTTCTGTGATAGCTCTATCTATTCCATACATTTCTATTGGGAATAAGTGTTGTTAAATAAACAATGGTTTAAAAGTGGTTGCTTATCTATTCATTTTTTGTGAAAATGGAGGATACTTCCTTCCCTCTCAATGTAGTGGGTCAATGTTACCAGATTATACAGATGCTGATGTGTTTTGTTTTCATAGCATCATATGTGAGTGAATGTCTTTGATAGGGGACATAGTAGTGCATTCGTAGTTCTATGAGCTTTAAATATTTGTAAATGAAAATACACCTAATGACAGTTAGGATTTGAAGTATTGAGTATTTTTACTGTATATTACAGTAATATATCCTATATATGACCATATTATGGTGATCCTGGGGTCGTGATGATGGGGCCCTTGAATATTGTTGCCCAGGGTACAACAAAGTGTTAATCTGGCCCTGCCTGTGATAACGGCCCTATTTACATAACAAAGTTGGCCGTTCACAGGTGATTTCGTTTGTTAGCTAAAATCCTTGGGGTCATTTGACACCGTGGAGGGGATGATAGGTATAAGTGCCAAATGACACCTCCATGCGAGTGCTAGTGTTAAAGCTGCTTTCAATATCTTTTCAAATCTGTTTTCCTTTTCTCCATAGCATGTCTGTAACAAAAGTTCTCATAATCTGAAGTCGGCGTATTTACATGGTTTTATGAAACAGAATTCTGAGAAAAACAGGTTTAAAGATCGACATTCCAAACATAATCATCACAGTCACATATAACATGTAAATTTTGAATTACTCTGTTATGGCACACTTGTTTTAGTCACTATGTTGTAGAAGATTAAAAAGATGTTACTTTGGCACCAATTAAACACACAACACTCATGAATTAGTCGAAAATCAAGAATGTATTGATTCTTTCAATATTCAATGGATTGAATTTTGACCTCCTCTTCTTTTTCTTTCTCTTTATAATTTACTGAAAATTAGATATGTATTAGACATTGCCAGTATTATTCTATCAAATCACGCAGTCTAAATATCCACAACCACCAAGCATTTTTAATGCAAGGAGAAACTTAGGTAACTTTAAACACAAATAAAACAAATGGACCTGTCCGACTCGAGTGTCTATGCTTCGTGTGTCTCTGGTTCTGTCCAGGTGTCTATGATCCGCGTGTCTCGCGTGTCTCCGCCTGTCTGGGTTCTGTCTGCGTATATGTAAATGTAAATGTCTGTCTGTGGTTCTGTTCGCGTGTCTATGGTCCCGCTCGTGAGCAGAGAGAGACGTGAGCAGAGAGAGAGAGCAGAGAGAGACGTGAGCAGAGAGAGAGAGACGCGAGCAGAGAGAGAGAGCAGAGAGAGACGTGAGCAGAGAGAGAGAGAGAGAGCAGAGAGAGACGTGAGCAGAGAGAGAGAGACGCGAGCAGAGAGAGACGTGAGCAGAGAGAGAGAGACGCGAGCAGAGAGAGACGTGAGCAGAGAGAGACGTGAGCAGAGAGAGAGAGCAGAGAGAGACGTGAGCAGAGAGAGAGAGACGTGAGCAGAGAGAGACGTGAGCAGAGAGAGAGAGGTGTGAGCAGAGAGAGACGTGAGCAGAGAGAGAGAGGCGTGAGCAGAGAGAGAGAGAGAGAGGTGAGCAGAGAGAGACGTGAGCAGAGAGAGAGAGACGCGAGCAGAGAGAGAGAGCAGAGAGAGACGTGAGCAGAGAGAGAGAGAGACGCGAGCAGAGAGAGACGTGAGCAGAGAGAGAGAGACGTGAGCAGAGAGAGACGTGAGCAGAGAGAGAGAGACGCGAGCAGAGAGAGACGTGAGCAGAGAGAGACGTGAGCAGAGAGAGGCGTGAGCAGAGAGAGAGGTGAGCAGAGAGAGACGTGAGCAGAGAGAGAGAGACGCGAGCAGAGAGAGAGAGCAGAGAGACGTGAGCAGAGAGAGAGAGACGCGAGCAGAGAGAGAGAGGCAGAGAGAGAGACGTGAGCAGAAAGAGAGAGACGTGAGCAGAGAGAGAGAGGCGTGAGCAGAGAGAGAGAGAGGTGAGCAGAGAGAGAGAGAGAGACGCGAGCAGAGAGAGAGAGAGGTGAGCAGAGAGAGAGAGACGCGAGCAGAGAGAGAGAGACGCGAGCAGAGAGAGAGAGACGCGAGCAGAGAGAGAGAGATGCGAGCAGAGAGAGAGAGATGCGAGCAGAGAGAGAGAGAGATGCGAGCAGAGAGAGAGAGATGCGAGCAGAGAGAGAGAGATGCGAGCAGAGAGAGAGAGATGCGAGCAGAGAGAGAGAGGCGTGAGCAGAGAGAGAGGTGAGCAGAGAGAGAGAGATGCGAGCAGAGAGAGAGAGATGCGAGCAGAGAGAGAGATGCGAGCAGAGAGAGAGAGAGACGTGAGCAGAGAGAGAGGGACACGAGCAGAGAGAGAGACGTGAGCAGAGAGAGAGACGTGAGCAGAGAGAGAGGGACACGAGCAGAGAGAGACGTGAGCAGAGAGAGAGAGACAGGAGCAGAGAGAGACGTGAGCAGAGAGAGAGAGACGCGAGCAGAGAGAGACGTGAGCAGAGAGAGAGAGGCGTGAGCAGAGAGAGAGAGGTGAGCAGAGAGAGACGTGAGCAGAGAGAGAGAGAGACGCGAGCAGAGAGAGAGAGCAGAGAGAGACGTGAGCAGAGAGAGAGAGACGCGAGCAGAGAGAGAGAGCAGAGAGAGACGTGAGCAGAGAGAGAGACGTGAGCAGAAAGAGAGAGACGTGAGCAGAGAGAGAGAGACGCGAGCAGAGAGAGAGAGATGCGAGCAGAGAGAGAGAGATGCGAGCAGAGAGAGAGAGAGATGCGAGCAGAGAGAGAGAAGAGATGCGAGCAGAGAGAGAGGGACACGAGCAGAGAGAGAGACGTGAGCAGAGAGAGAGACGTGAGCAGAGAGAGAGGGACACGAGCAGAGAGAGAGACGCGAGCAGAGAGAGAGAGGTGAGCAGAGAGAGAGAGAGGTGAGCAGAGAGAGAGAGACGCGAGCAGAGAGAGAGACGTGAGCAGAGAGAGAGACGTGAGCAGAGAGAGAGGGACACGAGCAGAGAGAGAGACGCGAGCAGAGAGAGAGGTGAGCAGAGAGAGAGACGTGAGCAGAGAGAGAGAGACGCGAGCAGAGAGAGAGAGACGTGAGTCCGCGTGTCTATGGTCCGCGCTCGGAGCCCAGACGGCAGTGCGTTCACTGAGCTGTCAGAGCGGGGGTCACAGCAGCTGCTCTCGGGGCCAGAGCGGAGGATGTAACGTAACGTTCGGTTTATCAAAACATATTACAATATTTAACGTATAACACTAGTGAATTTCACCTAGATTTTTTCAGACATTAAAGACAAGATGTTATATAATAATTGTTTAATGAAAAAACAATTTTGCCACAAGCAACCAAAAGATGTGCCTCAGACAAGAATCGAACCTGGGTTCTCCAGGTCCCTGTATTTAATGCTATCCATTCGGCCAACAAAGCACCTCTGGGCTAGACAGGTTTGCACGCAGTATGATACCTGAGCGTCTAAGTCGCTGGCAGAGCTAAAGCGGACTTAGCCTGCCACCTTGTGGCGATAAGATGTACTATTTTTCACGCAGCTGCGTGATTCCCGAGAAGCGTGAATGAAGACGACAAAACGGAATGGGACCTACTGTAGAGAATAAGATAATTTCTCTCACTCCAGTCTGAGAAGGCAGACACAACCTCCCTGTACTCTGCTTCATCCCCCCTTCACACATGCCACAACAGCGGTATCGTCCGGGTAGGGCCATTTAATGATGACTTGACATGAAAATCTTACATATTGCTGCTTTAAAGTGCAGAGGCCCCCCTGCTGGCATGGCATGGCATGGCATACATGCATGTGTATTTTGTGCACTTAGAGCAGAATCTACTGTGAGTGCGTTGACAAAGCAAAACAATATGAAGTACAAAACCGCACTTATTTTGGTGGACTATCAATTCTGATTTGCCAAACCTGAATGTGAAAGCCAGATCCTCTCAGACCTCTGAAACTAAGCAGGGAAAGGCCTGGTTAGTACTGTGATGGGAGACCTCAGGACACACCAGGTGCCACAAAGGGGCGGCGTTAAAGTGCCAAAATATTGTTGTATCCTCTGGCAAGACACTTCACCCACATTATCTAGAATGAGTCTGGTGTGTGCGTGGTTGATGGTGGTGGTCAGGGGTGGGGGCAATGGCACATACTGGTTGCCTGCCTACAGTAATAGTTTATCACCATTGGGTATGGAGTGAAAGAATAACGACATGTGAAGCATCTTTGAGTGTCCAAAAAAGCGCTGTATAAAACCGATGCACTACCACCAGCCCCCATCCCCCCCCCCCTGACCCAGAAATTGACTAATAAAGGGGTAGAAAATGAATGCATGAATGAGAAATAAAAAATAAAATCTTATAATAATCAAAATGTTTATAATAAAAGTCCCATGTGATATGATATGATAATGGTTAATCTTTGTGAGAGTACCTCAAGCTGGAGGTCCCGGCTCCGCATTACGGCCATATTCTTCTCCTCACTCAGAGCGGCGTAGCGCATGGCCAGTTTGTAGTTTTCATCCTTCACTCTGAGCAGCTCATCACTGTAGGCGTTTCTCTCTTCTTTTAACTTGTTGAACCCTAATAAACATCAAACAAAAGAGACAACAAGGTTTCTACAAGGCAATCTCTGCTCTTTATTGTTCTGTACGCAGTCAGAGGTATTGCGATGACTAGACGCTCTTTCACCAAGTTCACACAGGAGATCAAAGGGCATGTGTAGAACGCTGCTGTTTCAGAAAGCAGAGAGAGTCTTCTGCTTCAAACCTTCTCTCTCTGTGGTGTACGCACAAATGTCACACACTTTGTCCTCTCACAGACTCTCTATAGAACAAAGACCTTTTGAACAATAGAAAGCATCTAATACAAGCCTGGCATTTCCAACCATCAATTGAATGCTTTATGTGGTATGATGTTGTGATATTTATCTCACTTTGCTGAAATATTACATATATTTCTGAGCACTGATTTGAGCTTTTTCTAAGTGTTTTTGGTGGGATATAGATGACACATGACATTGTGTAGCCTTCAGAATGTTTACAAAATTCTATGTTAATGTCATTTGCAGAAATATGTCAGCAAGAGAAGTAGAGTTGTCTGAACAAAAATGGGTTTTAGAGTTTTTTCTTGCCAAAACAAGAGGGTCTAAGGACAAGGGAAGATCCAAGACATTTGCTTTACCTTTCCTGTGGCCCAGTGTCTCTTAGGGACACCCGCTCCGGAGAACACATCACTCCTGTCCTCAGACAACTCCACTGGCTCCCTGTTCCATGCTGCATTCAATACAAGTCCCTTCAACCTGCCCCATCATACCTCACTGACTTCCTACATCATCACTGTCCCACCCCCTCCTCAGATCCACAACCTTCAACCTCCTAAAGACTAAACACCGAAACACGCAGCGGCCCCCACTCTCTGGAACTCACTCCCACAACCAATCAAAAGCTGCAACTCACTACAGAACTTTAAATCACTTTAAATCACATAGCCTTTTCTTAATTTTGTTCTTTAATGTTTCATTTTTTATGTTTTGTAAAGCGTCTTTGAGTGTTATACGAGTTTGATGTACTGTATTATTATTATTATCATTATTAGTAATATTATTGTTAATAATAATTTAGTTTAGTGATTTATAAATAAATATTATATGGAGTAATCATGGCGACAGTAGTTCAGTTGGTAGAGCATTGGCCTTTGGGCCTGAAGGTTATGGGTTTGAGCCCACTACTCCAACTGCTCCCACTAATGTCTGCTGTCGTTGTGTCCTTGGGCAAGACACTTAACCCCACGTTGCCTGAAGCCTCCGTTGAAAGACCAAGGCTGTTTCACCACTCACGGAGCAGCCATCTTCCTGTGAACTCACCCCCTGCAGAGGATCAGCGAGGGACTGGTCCTATGAGCATTGGGTGGCAGCTCTCATTGGAACCCCCCCAACCCAGAAATGGACTAATAAAGGTTTGAAAATGAATGAATAGTGAGTAATCATGAGTCATGACTATAATGTGCAGCACTGCCATGTAGTGGAAGTGGAAGAAATGAATAATAGCGTGGCCTACTTAAAGGCATGTTGCAAATAATCACATACAGTGCCTTGCGAAAGTATTCGGCCCCCTTGAACCTTTCAACATTTCGCCACATACATAAAGATATAAAATTGTAATTTTTTGTCATGAATCAACAACAAGTTGGACACAATCGTGAAGTGGAACGAAATTTATTGGATAATTTAAACTTTTTTTACAAATAAAAAACTGAAAAGTGGGGCGTGCAATATTATTCGGCCCCTTTACTTTCAGTGCAGCAAACTCACTCCAGAAGTTCAGTGAGGATCTTTGAATGATCCAATGTTGTCCTAAATGACTGATGATGATAAATAGAATGCACCTGTGTGTATTCAAGTCTCCGTATAAATGCACCTGCTCTTTGATAGTCTCAGGGTTCTGTTTAAAGCGCAGAGAGAACCATGAAGACAAAGGAACACACCAGGCAGGTCCGAGATACTGTTGTGGAGAAGTTTAAAGCCGGATTTGGATACAAAAAGATTTCCCAAGCTTTAAACATCTCAGGGAGCACTGTGCAAGCAATTATATTGAAATGGAAGGAGTATCAGACCACTGCAAATCTACCAAGACCCGGCCGCCCCTCCAAACTTTCATCTCAAACAAGGAGAAGACTGATCAGAGATGCAGCCAAGAGCCCCATGATCACCCCATGAGGTGGGAGAGTCTGTCCATAGGAGAACAATCAGTCGTGCACTGCACAAATCTGGCCTTTATGGAAGAGTGGCAAGAAGAAAGCCATTTCTCAAAGATATCCATAAAAGGCCTTGTTTAAAGTTTGCCACAAGCCACCTGGGAGACACACCAAACATGTGGAAGAAGGTGCTCTGGTCAGATGAAACCAAAATCGAACTTTTTGGCCACAATGCAAAACGATATGTTTGGCGTAAAAGCAGCACAGCTCATCACCCTGAACACACCATCCTCACTGTCAAACATGGTGATGGCAGCATCATAGTTTGGGCCTGCTTTTCTTCAGCAGGGACAGGGAAGATGCATGGAGCCAAATACAGGACCATTCTGGAGGAAAACCTGTTGGAGTCTGCAAAAGACCTGAGACTGGGACGGAGATTTATCTTCCAACAGGACAATGATCCAAAACATAAAGCCAAATCTACAATGGAATGGTTCACAAATAGACGTATCCAGGTGTTAGAATGGCCAAGTCAAAGTCCAGACCTGAATCCAATCGAGAATCTGTGGAAAGAGCTGAAGACTGCTGTTCACAAACGCTCTCCATCCAACCTCACTGAGCTCGAGCTGTTTTGGAAGGAAGAATGGGCAAGAATTCCAGTCTCTCGATGTGCAAAACTGATAGAGACATACCCCAAGCGACTTGCAGCTGTAATTGCAGCAAAAGGTGGCGCTACAAAGTATTAGCGCAAGGGGGCCGAATAATATTGCATGCCCCACTTTTTCAGTTTTTTATTTGTTAAAAAAGTTTAAATGATCCAATACAATTCGTTCCACTTCACGATTGTGTCCCACTTGTTGTTGATTCTTGACAAAAAATTTAATTTTTATATCTTTATGTTTGAAGCCTGAAATGTGGCAAAATGTTGAAAGGTTCAAGGGGGCTGAATACTTTCGCAAGGCACTGTATGACTGGAGGATCTAAGAAAACTAATTTAGAGACAATACAAAGGTTGTAAAAGTAAAAAGCTGTTGGACTGAAAAAGGAGCCTGCAGGTAGAGGTTGTAAAAAGTGGAAGGTGATAATGGTACATGCATACAGTAGATTTGAGAAGTGAACGTACGCTGTTGAAACGCCTGCAGCTCCTGGTTGACCAGCCGCAGCTTCTTCTGCTCGTCCTCCAGAGTACAGTTCTTGCTGCGGAGCTCGGCCTGCTGCAGGGTCTTCACTTTGGACTGTTGCTGGAGCTTCATCACCTCGTTCATCAGGAAGTGCACCAGCCCCTCGTGACCCTCCTCCACTGCAACAGCAACGTGGACAAGAGGAAATGTGTTTGTCATCGTTTAGTTTCACATTTTTTGTTGAATTACTGGCATAAATTGACCTTTTATCAATATTATAATTTTCTGAGTTTCTGAGAAGATTCCAATAGTGACTCACAAGTATGCAGAAAATACTAATATGAGATACACCTTCATTCGTCAACCGTCTCACAGTGGGGAAATTTCATCTATGCGCATGTTACAGCAGAATGAAAGGAGGGAATAAACAAGCTCAGATTACACACACAAGCAGGTTCTATTCTTTAAGAGAAAAGATAATAACATAAAATAAAACTCTGTAGCTATAATTGCACTTGGTGCAAGGACAAGTCACTAGTGGAGTTTAAACTGTAGTTAGCAGCATTATGAGGTATACAGGCCTTCACGTATTGGGCTTGCAATTGGGACAAATATGCAAGACACAATATTTAAGGGATCAGATCTGTAAGGTCACAGGATACCTCTGTCACTTGGATGAGTTTAATGTCTCTGGTTGTGCGTCTGGAATTGACGTACATTTTTTAAAAGCTCTGTAATCTCGCACTATTGCATCTGTCATATATTTGTTTCACATTTTAAGTTAAATTACAGCATAAATTGACCTTTTAACAATAGTATACCTTTCAGAGTTTCATCTGTATTGCAACAGACAAATGGGTAAGAGATTTCAAACAGAATCTGCATTTGCAACAATAACATTTGAAGCCGACTGACCTACGATGGTGGAGAAGCGGCGCGTGGGTTCCTTCCCGGTCACGAGTTTGTACAGCTCAGGATAGTACAGCTCCAGACTCTCCAGGAAGGCCACATATCCCCGCTCTCCTCGGGTTTGGAGGATGTCCAGCAAGCGGCCTGATGGGAAACAAAGTCCCCAATGATAACAAATCTTTGAAACCAGTTTTACATCAAATATACACAGCAAGGATGACGAGAAAAGAAAGTCAAAACTTGCTCAAATCTGGCAAAATGTATCTTAATTTAAGAACATTCTGACTGGCTTATAACAACATTATATGGCCAAACTGATCTTGCTTGAAATGAGAGAAGGGGGCGGCATTGGCTCAGTTGGTAAAACATTGGGCTCTGAGCCTGAAGGCTGCGGGTTCGAGCCCACCACGAGATTTTCTCCACAGACTTTCACTTATGTCTGCTATTGTTGTGTCCTTGGGCAAGACGCTTAACCCTGCTTTGCCTGAAGCCCTCACTAAAGATCAAGGCTATGTTGTCACTGACAGAGCAGCCATCCTCCTGTGGACTCACCACTTGCAGGAGGATCAGTGAGAACTGGATTAAGGGGAAGAAGATGGATGGAATAATAATAAAATAATATAAGATAAAAAAACTTCATTGATCTCACAAAATAAAGCAGCAGGTTTTGAAATAAGACTAAATGGCTTGTCCCACTGGCAAATCTGGTTTTAACACAGTCAGAATATACTCAAACAAAATGAAAAATCATCTTTTGCGGTGACATGTTAGAGTACTCACTGGTGCGGTTTACGTTGCACACCAGCCGGAGGGAGTTGAGCACCTCGTCTTCGTCCTGCTCGTCCAGGACTTTGCACTGCCGCAGGTACGGGCAGAGTTTGGAGGGCAAGATGCTACGGCAAAGCTCGTAGCGTTTGCAGTCCACTTTGTCCCACAAGCACTCTTCCTCCGAAGCCGGTAACAGACCATTCTCCATCTTTGACACACTGCAATGGAACGTCACTCAAGTATTAGAAAGTGAATGAGTGCGAAAAAGTAGACCAAAAGTAGACCAAAAGTAGACCAAAAGTAGACCAAAACATTTGTTGTGGGATACCTAACCATCAAGCTACAAAGAATTGGGCTGTGAAGTAAAATTAACTTCACTAGTTTTTCACTCAAAAAACAGTATCTATCACTGGTTTTCACATACTTTTTGGCCACTTTAGATCAACTTTTTCAGACAGAAAGAGAACCACAGAGTGAAGGTGAAAGGCCAACAAGTGCTAAGCATCTCTGGGAACTCCTTCAAGACTGTTGAAAGACCATTTCAGATCACTACCTACTAACTACTACTAACTGAAGCTACCTTTTCTCATTTTCTCGATGAGAAGCTCATCGAGAGAATGCCCAGAGTGCAAAGCAGTAATGAGAGCAAAAGGTGCAACTCTGAAGAACCGAGAATATAAGACATATTTTCGGTTGTTTCATACTTTTTTTTAGCAGGTACAGAATTCCACATGAGTTAATTCATAGTTTGGATGCCTTCAGTGTGAATCTACAATTTTCATGATCATGAAAATAAAAAACCGTTTGGTCTGTACGGTATGTCTGTTAGTGCACACTCTGTATTAGTAGCTAAGACGAGGAAGACTACATGGTTGAACTTGTTAAATGGTCCTGTGGCCACATAACTACGTATGTGATCTACAATAAATTCCAAACATTTCTCTCTTTCTGGTTTCTTGACCAGTGCTTCCAACAACAAACCTCCATAAGAAGAAACTGATTAAAGAGGTGAAATGTATTTCCTCAACACTACAGAGAGAGGCTGGTGGTGACTGATAACACTGTCTCTTTGTTTATGGGGAGCAAAGACCAGAGACAATAATATGTTTTGTCTGTTCAGCTGGAGACAGTTGTTTTGCATGCAACTGATCTGTTGGATGCAGTGAGCCACTGGTCCATGTTGTGAGACATAGATCTGAGTGCCGTCTGCATAGTTGCAATAGGACATGTTAAAGGCAGCATGTAGAGATTAAACAGAAAATGCCCCTGGAACGAGCCTTGTGGCACTCAATATCTGCGAGAAAGTTTCCACAACAAAGTATTTTTTGTCTTCTCGATAAGGCTTTAAACAACTGTCTAGATTCCTGTTATCTTCTCTCAATGTTTGTTCGCTATAAAACGACCCACATAAGCTAATGTGGTGGTACGTTTCTGCTATCATAGAGTATATAACCTGGTAATGTTGTATGCAAGGCTAATGCCATAATCCTCTTCCTTCCTTGTAAAAACATGAGAACAGGCTCTTGTCTTTCCATCATAAACTGCAGCTTTTTGAGATCTTTCCATTAGCCCCTTTGTGAGATTTGCATGGTGTTTGGCTTGTAGTGGGAGTCTAACCATAATGCTGTATTGTAATGTTGAGTCAACAGTCACAGGAAAATCCCCAGTGTACTTGCTGTCACTGAAGCTAGAACAGTATTAACAGGGAGCAGGCGGTTTCATTACTGCAGCTTCAGATTTGAGAAGCAATATCTCATGACATTTGTGCATTCCGGCAGTATCCCGTGCAGAAATTGTACACCGGGGCCCAACAGTGAAGCCTCTCATATTGTCCAAAAGGGCCACAGTTACTGCACGTAATGAAAAGTGCACAAGAAAAGGTCTATAGACACACCTACCCGCTCCAAACCACACACATGTTTCCTCTTCTGTTATTATAGAGTTCTGTACCGAGAAAGAACATCAGCGCTTCCTCTTTTTCAAACCAGATGCAAGTTGTATATGTGATGCCTTCCTCTCACTTCTTCCTCTGGTCGGTTAATGTCATTTTGTGTTTGCCCCAATTTCTAAATCCATCACAATGCACAGCAGACACCAGCCGTTCACCGCTAGGGATGCAAATCTGAATATTCTTTCTACTAATTAAATAATGCTAAAATAATTGATTCAGCGTAAATGTAAGTAAGAAAGTAAGTAATCTTTATCGATATAGAGCATTGTTACAGTCTATGATTGTTACAGAACAAGGTGACCCAAAAGTGATATTTTTCAATTCTCTCCACGCGGTGATGACAAAAGCGAGACGTCCAGATTTTTTGAGGTAGGGGAAACCAGAGCACCCGAAGGAAACCTACGCAGGTACGAGAAGAACATGCAAACTCCACTCAGAAAGGCCTTGTTCCAACCGGGATTTGAATCCAGGACATTTGTATTTTGTCATTTTGAGTTTATGAAATCAAACTTTGTGCTAAAGACAGGGTAAAGGGATGAGACATGAAAAGCACTTTAAAAACAATACACTGAATGGAAATCAGCTCAAGTTGATAAAATGTTTTTGTTCTTATTATCTCTAAAATGCCTGATAGAGTTATCAAAATGCAAGTCGAATCTGGTTGAAAACCCTTTGGCACACAAAGAAATGGCTAGATTCCCTGTGAAGCCCTGTAGTTTTGGTGATTTGCAGTCTTACAACTTACGGGCCCAATAATAATAATAATAATAACCCGTTTTTATATAGCGCTTTTTTGGACACTCAAAGACACTTCACATGTCATTATTCATTCACTTCATACACAGTGGTGAAAACTACTGCTGGTGCCTAAGCTGCCCTGGGGCACACTGACAGAAGCGAGGCAACCAGTTTGTGCCAACGGGCCCTCTGACCACCACCAACCATTCACACACACACAAGACACATTCTGAGCAATGGGGGTGAAGTGTCTTGCCTAAGGACACAACGGCGGCCGAAGCCACCCTTGGTCACCTGAATCTGAAAAAACAGCTTCCTCTTTAGAGTGAGGCAAAATTTGATATGGGAGCAAAGAATTTAGTTTGTTATGGCATCCCAAAACAACCTTTTGTGCTTATGGGAAATATACCAAATCTCTCCAATTTAAAACTCCCACAGTGTGATTATGTTATAGTGATGTGAGATACCCATGCAGTTCAATGGAGACATACACAAAGACCATGTTCAATACAGCATTAGCTTTTCTTCTTTGAGAGCCATGATGAAGGCACATCAGTACAGCCTACTTGGTTGTTTGATGCCGCTTGCTGCTCTAAATCGTAATGTTGCTTTTTTCCTTGTGTAATGATAGACTTTTTGTTTCAAAGGGTTACATGTGGTTATTTGTGGTTGGGGAAATTCGACTGACTTCCGTTTGCTATGTTACTAGTCCCAAGGCAGATCTGCAGAGAGGTTTACAGTATGATTGGTAAAAACATAATTGAATCATATAATTACGGATTTTAAATTAACCACATTTGGATTAACACATTCAAAAGAACTTAATAAGAAAGCAGATTTTCTTCAGTGGAACTTTAGCTTGGAGCCACTATACTTTCCAGTTATGCGAGTCGATTTAACTGACAACCACAAACAAGAACATTTATCAAAACTCACACTGTTGATGCAATCACTTTCAGACAGTTGACATAAATAATGCCAGACTTTTGATCATTTATAATATCAACACAGTCTATATATGTACATTGTGTACAACTGTAGAACAAGTATCTTACCACATACTGCAGATCTGGAATCTATTTTTAAAATGAAACCAACTTCATGCCAAAGGTTGTGATGGAATAAAACAGAGACGCCTTTATTGTTTTATAGACCAGAGAGATTGCGTAAGAAATTAAAGCTATACCACACCAAAAGAAATGTTATAATGCATATGTCCTCATCTCTAGAACTAGGAAGTAATCATATATATTTTGCATTGGTTTTTTATAGCGCTTTATTGTCAAAATTCATTCACTCCATATTCACTGATCATAAACTACTATTGTGGCCGCAGCTGCCCTGAGGTACACTGACAGAAGCGAGGCAACCAGTATGTGCCATCAGCCCCTCCGACACAATGGCAGTTTGAGCGTTTGATCAGAAGATTCATGTTGGATTCTGCAGAAATGTTCAATCAGCTTAATTTGATTGAAAAATGTCCAACTTGTGGAGCCAGGCCTTCTCGCCACACCTTAAGTATGTGTATGTGTGCAATGTTATGGGATGTAGGCCTCTTCCTTGTACATCTCTGACAATTTAGTCAGACAGATTTGCATGTGTATTAATAAATAAATATGAATCAACCCTACTTACGTAAAAAGAGTGGACCACCCTCACTCAGCCAATCAGCTCTCAAAAGTGTTGAATAGTAAGTCACTGGGCTGTTTCTTACAAGGATGCAAACGTTTTTTAAATATGGTGAAGACAGCAGGTCGTGGCCTGATTTGCTCGCAAAATGTTACTTTTACAAAACTCTTTCTGTTGGGGCGAACAACATGTACTATCTATGCTGACAAACAGTTAGGTACCCCGGCTTTAAAAGTACAAAAGACGAAACTCCACTTTTCAATCCAATGTCAAATGGCCTTATCGGTTCAGCGGGTTCATGAGGAGCCAAAACATCTATATTTTGTCTGTGATAAAAAATGTCACACTGAGAGTTGCAAAATATGGTGCAGTCCATTCCTGACTTTCACTTCCCTTTATTTCTATTGCATCAGCTCATCGAAAAACGGAATCAAGCTGTATGGAAAGTAGTACCATATTTGTTACATTTGAAGTTTTAATGTATACCAGACGTGTCAAACACCAGGGACCCTCTTCAGTGATTTTCAATGATCATGATGGACTTGCAGCATTCGTGCTAAGAAGCTTATTTTCTCAAGAAAACAACCAAATCTGTTACTTTGTTCTAAAATGTGAACCCAAGAGGCAATTATACATAGTTGATAAAAGTTAAGAAATATATCAGTCTATAGTTTTATGCCTTCTTTTTATCCGGTTGCGTTTTGGTTCAATCAAGCAAAGAGAAACTGAACTCATTTTGTTCAGAGGAATCTACCATAAAACTATAACAAAACTCATGTTTGATCAAAATAATCTCTTTGACAGAATACCTTCATAATTTCAAAACTAAAAATCTTATCCAAAGATGCCAACGTAGGGCTGGGCGATATGGCAAAAAAAAAAAAATCTCCGATTTTTTCACACCAAATCCGATTTTCGATTTTAATCGATTTATTTTTTTCTATTTAAAAACAAACTACAACTGACAAAGAAATAGATTTTCCTTTATGCAGTTCGATCTAAATCCCCATGGAGCATAAGTGTAACAGGAATTAAGCCTTAAAACATGCTTGTAAACGAGATGGCTCTGCCATTGTAAACAGTGAAAATGTAGCTTAACAGTTTTATAATAACTTCACTTACAATGACACTATGCACCTTCAAAATAACTTAAATCACACAAACAAGGCCCATCGCAAATATATCAATCCTATTAAACACATGCATTATTTACATGAAATATCACATTTTTAAAACTGATTACTCAAAATAGAAATGTTGTAACAGACAGTCTTTTCCAAAAGCCTCCTCGGGTTTTCATGCTTGTTCTTTCAACTGTGCCTGAGTAACTGTGCTGTAGTACAACGCTCGGTCCAGCTGGTGGCGCTAATACTAACTTCAGTGACTCCCGCATTGTGCGAGCTTCCTGTTTACATTCTGATGCTGTAGCTAACAGCTACTGTAGCAGCTACTGTAGCTAACAGCTACTGTAGCAGCTACTGTAGCTAACAGCTACTGTAGCAGCTACTGTAGCTAACAGCTACTGTAGCAGCTACTGTAGCTAACAGCTACTGTAGCTAACAGACAGCGGGGAACACGTTGTTTGTATCAGAGCAATGAGAGCAATGTGTGAGACGTGTCTTTCCCCAAAGTGCAGCGGCTCAGTGGGACACGAGTGTGTGCGCGCCACGGACACGGGAGTGCGCTTTGGAATAACGAGCGTGAGAGAGCGTGAAAGATGTGGCGTACGACCGGAGCCTGTGTGTGTGTGTTTTGGCGATTTAAATAAAGTCTGATTCTTGAACGTTTGAAGTGTTATTGCAACAGCACCAACTGTGAGAGCGAGCATCAGGCCAGAGGGAGACTGTTAGCATTAGGTTAGCTTCAAAATGACTGCTCAACACCATAGACCCGCGGTTAGCGCGTTAGCGCTGTAGTTCTGCGATGGAGAAAATAAAAATCGACTTTTTAAAAAAAGAAATCGCCCTAAATGTAAAACTCGAATTAATGATTAAAATCGATTAATCGCCCAGCCCTATGCCAACGATGACCTTTCGACTCCTGATCAACAGGAAATTGACAGATTTGTACAAGAAATATGTATTTTCAATGAATACAGCCAACACTTTAACTGTTGATATCAGTCAATATTCATAGTTGAATGATTCCAAAACGTGCCCCATACTTTTCTATGTAGTAGTGTCACATGCCAAGTATTCCTCTTTCAAGCAGTTGATACAGAATACTGGGTCCATAGTAGAAGGGAATAATCTAAGGCAGGACTGGACTGAACACAAGAAAAAAAAACTGGTTTCTCTCAACAATAGTTAAGGATGAGTTGAGAATTTGGTATCTGTTAACCAAACTGGTAACACATTCAAAGTTTTACACAATACATTAACTATGATTTTTTTTCACTCTGTGATTATAAATTGATTCATTATAGATCATTTCACAATCAAACTCTCCTCTAACCCTCGAATGTATCATTGGCCGCAGTCACATGGACGACTAATGCTGCGTTCAGACCGGATCATGCGTTGCGTCTGCTTTCCATGCAAAGTCAATGGTGAAACGCGTTCGAGCGTCAAAACGCACCGACCTCTCGGCACACACGCACGGACTGTTCAGTAGAGACGCACGGACTCGGCGGGAAAGTCAAAGGGGAGGAGCAGGAGCAAAAAATCGACGCCCACGTTTGTGCGGAAACCAATGAGAGAGCCGCAAAGTGGTCACAGGGACATTAGCGGACTGAGCGAGCAGACTGAAAAAACTCGTAAACAGCCAAAACAGGAGCTACACCAGGCTTCACCAGAACTCAAACCAGGGTTGACAATGGGGGACATGTGAAAATATGGGTTTTCATGCTCCCGTGACCTTATGCAACTGCTTCGAGTGTGTTTGCCAATGCGGAAATACCTTTTAATTATACAAATAAACATATGGCGCACCTCCGTGAACACATACTACTGTTAAATAAAGTCTGTGGAAGGTCTCTGAACACAGACACGCTGCAAAGCTGCATATTGGAGAAGATCTGTACACACGAAGCCGCTAGCTAAACTCTGTTAGAATCATAGCCTGGCTCTAGCTATCCCAGCTCTACACGTCATATAGTTGGGGGTTCACATATAAATAGATCTGGCCTTTCTGAAGAGGGACAACCCAATGTTTGTCCAGTTCTTGATAAGTTCGTGCATCATATCCATCCTCTCTCCTCCTCAACTAAACTTACATTGACAGTTGTCCAGCCTTTTTGCAATTTATCAAAAGCATTACATTTTCTCTACCCTTCAAACAGAATGTGAAACCTTAGTGCATGTATGTCCAATGGAGTTTTTAAAATTGCATACAATTAATTAGCTATTTGTGCCACAGTGAGATTAGCTCGACGCGGTAAGTTCTGGCAACCCGGATCACAGAACCTCTGATTGGTAAAACAGTGGAAGGCGGGACATAGAAAAAAATCTAACATATTGCTACTTTAAGTCCGGGCAGCTCAAAACTTCTCAACATGAGAGTGTGAAAACGCACAACTGAGCAGCGCTGTGTAGAGTCGAGCTGTGAAAACGATTTATGTTACGGTTAAATTAACTTCTTTGAACTTTTCCTCTACCCATCCATCGCTAATATAAGTAAACTTCTGGCACAAACATGTAACTCTGACCCTTCTGTCTGAAACCTCCTGTCTCAGTCCTGTAATGATATGACATTTTGTAATGCTATGACAAGTAAGTAAGTAAGTAAGTTTTTATTTATATACCGCCTTTTCACTGCAGATCTGAGTCTCAAAGCGGTTTACAATTGTTAATTTTGGGCATTTGTCTCTCACTCCACACAGAGATGGGAGCGGGGTCGCCAGTACAGGAAGAATATGCCAGAACTATTGGACATATTTTTAGTGGTAGGGGAAACCGGAGTACCCGGAGGAAACCTACGCAGACACAGGGAGAACATGCAAACTCCACTCAGAAAGGCCTTGGTCCGACCGGGATTCGAACCCAGGAATTTCTTGCTGAGAGGCGAGAGTGCTATCCACTCAGCCACCGTGCCGCAGTGGGACAACAGACCCAGATCAGATGTATGTCTTTTAAAACTAAAATATTGCCCCTAAAATAATGTTGTCAAATTATCAGGTGAAAAGTGGTTCTTTACAATTGCATAGGGAGCAAAGGGAGCAATTAATACTTATTTCACCATATATTTTTCTTGCTCATGTTTTTTTCATATTCTAAAACATGAAATGACAAAGTAAACCATCTCAGTCTCATGTTTAATGGTAAAAAATAAGAATGCAGAATAGTATCTTTTACCCTAACCTGATGAAGGGCGGACAAAGGGCTGTGTTCCATGCACCGGTGTGAGCGTCCAGCCGCTGCTTCCAGGCTGCACAGGGGCAGGTCTGATGGCAGGTCTGATGCTGTAAGAGTGCACACAACACAATCATAAAGGCTTCATTGTTAAACACAAAATACGAGGAATTTGATACATAGCATTCAAGAGGAAGTAAGATGCAACGATACAAAGGGGCAATAGTGGTTCTAAAAGAGCTTCTGACACAGGTGCAGGATTTTTATATTGAGTTTTTTTTCCATCGTATTTTGTTATAGATAAAATATATAGAACTGAAAGATCTCAGCTCCTGTGGACTCACCACCTGCCGGAGCATCAGTGAGGGGCTGGTGCTCTGTGGACTGGGTGACGCTCTGACTGCCGCCCCCCCGACCCAGAAATGGATTAAGGGGAAGAAAATGGATGGATGGATGGATTTTGTTATAGATTAAAATTACAATCTCTATTTTGATACCAAGTGATGGAAAATGAATGAAAAGCTAAAAAAGTAGAGTATTACTATTACCAGGGGATAATGGAAGCTGGAGGGTATAGTAACCTCCAAGCTATAGGTACTTTGGTATACACATGAAATCCTGCATCACTGTTTTTTGTACGTATAATGTTACTGACTGAATTCCCATGACTGTGTTCTGTATCTGTTCTTTTATCCAGGCTTCTGTCCCGTGCACCTGCTTTTGGAATTTCAAACATTTTAGAGACAGATAATGGGCTCTTCGACGTGGGCCAATTGTTGAAGAAGTCAAGCCCAATGGAAGTTCAAAACAATGTATTAGTGTTGGTACTATATTATTGTGTACAGTGTTAAATTTAAAGTAAGAATTATGAGCTTGATGTATTTAAAAACACAACATATCTGGGTGTATAATTATCTGGAGGTGGCACAGAAGTGAGGCATAATTTCTATGGAAACAGACTCTCCTCCAGAACAAGTAGAGGTTTGTGGAGAGGCAAGCTGGTTTATAGTAAAGACTCAAGGTTTTATTTTATAGTCTTTGGTCAACCAAAATGTTTGATATTTATGTCATCTCATTGAATTAAAGAATGTATTTTCACATTATTGTTACGCTTTTTAAATGATAAGTTATCATTTGACGCGTTTAGGACATCTAAACCAAGGACAAACGCGTCGGCGTTTGATGTCTATTGGCATGTGTTATTTGTCTATAATAAATCGCTCTCAAATACACTTGTTCGCTCACCTGTTGCTGCAGCTGGAACGACACTGGCCACGAAGACTTTCAGCGCTGTTCAGTTAAAGTTTGTTTAGTTTAATTTAGTATTTAAACGAATTGATGATCCGTTTCTCAAAAAGTTAAGTTATCTCCATTTTGTACAAGAGGAGCAGACCGACATCAGGCTCACCGGGCATGAACGAGTGTGTGCGGGTATGAGAGACGCAGGAGGCGGGCGGTAGTAGTAATAAAACGAGCGCACTGAGGAGGACCGCCCCATGCAGCCTCTGCACCTTGTGTCAGGTCTGCAGGGGTCTATGGTCTACACCAGCTCTGGTCTGCATGGGTCTATGGATCTTAGACATAATAATGCATCGGTTTTTAATGACATACTTATGACAGCTCACGCCCTTGTCTCCTTGTTTTGCCAGTCTTCATACACATTTACATGTGTGTGTGTGTGCGCGCGCGTGTGTGTGTGCGTGTGTGTATGCATAAGTGCGTGCGTTATTTTTGTAAATTTAACATATTTGAAGTGTCCTTTGCTTGTCACGTAATAGATTACTCAGTGCATAGAAACAAACCCACATTAGTACTTTGTACATGGAAGTATATTATGCCAGGCTTCCTCTTTCTGAAGAAGGCGGAACTAAAGTCATGTCATGTGATTTCATTCAGGGCTGATTTCCGGGCGCACTGTTTACATTTTTGGTCCCGTGGATTTGTTCTCTCCTGCAAAGAAAGACTCTGTTGTAACATGTATTCTCACGGATCTGAAAGTTTAATCAAACAAGCCAGGTGGGGATTTCTGCATGTGCAAAAGTGCGGTCAGCGCCGTCTCTAGCTAGCGTCCCTATTACAGACGCTAATGGTTGACAGGAAATTTAACTATGACTATGAGAGACGAGTGATGAGATGACATTAACTGTCGCTTTTGTGGAAGTTGTCCTGAGATTCTTTATGTAAATACAAGCGATGGTTAGAACTGGTTGGTTGAATGTGGTCTTTTATTCCCAGGGAAATTCAGGACTCTGAGCTGCAGAAGTTTTACAGCAGACTGTTGAAAGTTATCCAAGGGAAAGATCTTGGACATGAAGCTGTGGATTCTCTGCAAAGACTACACCTCATCCTGTCAGCCACGAAGTTCACCAGGAGGTAAGATCCTACACGACTTACTAATAATAACACCTTTTATTCTTCTGAAAGCCATTGGTTTTATCTGAAAAAATGTGCTATACAAGTAGAATTGAGAAACTACAGCACAAGCATCATATTTGCCTTGCTATAGAAGACTGAAAGGATTTATCTCATTTAGTTTGTTAACAAATATTAAAAAAAATATTATTGCAGACTGCCCTAAAAACATACTTAAACAAATGTATGTGCTGTTAAGACTTCCACAAAAAGTATGATCAGGAATTGTGTTTAGTGATAAAAGTAGAGGGATTTTCTATGGCTTCAAGGGTCATGGGTGATAGAAAATATTCACATTTGTGTGAATATTTGTCTTATACAACAGTCGTCTAATTTTTGTATCCCTAAATCACAAAAGTAGTTATCTTGGAGGATTTTACAAGTTGTCGACTCGCCAACACGGATTAGAGAATCAAACAGAAATGGAATGATAAAGAAATATATAGAGCCTTTGGTCCATAAGGGGCAGATGACCAATGTCCATGAATGTTGATACAGTCCATAAATGTGGTGGAATGCCGAGTGTCCTGGATCATCATCGCTGTTCTTAGACCCACCTTTCTCCTTAAATGTAGCGTGTGCAGTTTATATACAGGTGCACTTAATAGTCCTGCAAGTACTGTAATCGGGTCATAAAGATAATAATAACTTTTATCAAAATAATTATTTGCAGTTAACCTAGCTAGCACTGAAGTCGAGATTCATATTTAAGGAGTTGTAATTTGCTGTTAATGTTAATTCTGTGTGCTTTATGAACAGATTGCCTCCAGACCTCCACAAAAAGATTTCCTCCCTCGTCTCCTCACCTGCAGAACAGTTTCAGATCCTGGGCTCCGCTGTGCTTAGAGAAACACTGCCCCCATCTGATCAAGATATGACTTGCATCCAAAATAATCCCAGCGTTGTGAACAGCCATGGTGCTGGTCTGCTGCTTGTACAGGTGCGCCATGTCCCTCAGCTTGTCCTACTTCCCCGTGCAATAACAAACATTAACGTGTGATTTCAATCCTCGCAGGCCAGCTCCACAACTCCACTGTCAACTCTCTGCTCTCAACTTGTGCGCAGTCTGGACAGTCGACATTCAGAAACGCATTCTCATTCACAGACGCACACTTTACCTATCCTCAATGCCATTCTGACCCATAGGCCTGAGTGTCTCTCTGAAGGTAACAAATGAATACCAATGATGAGCTATACGTGTACAATAGGGGTGGGAATTGGCAAAAATGTGATTATAGTTTTGCAAAATTTGGACAACAATTTAATATTATTCCAAAAACTTAGGAGGGTAGTGAAAAACCGTTATCCTTGAACATTCAGGACATAGGTCTTGTCCTGTAAGGTCCTATCACATGAATGGTGAGCTCACAGCACATAACTAAATCTATTCATATACAATAGACCAGGTGTCCTTTTCCACCCAGAGAGCTACTTTCCCGGGACAATAAAGGCAGAGAGCTACTACTTTAATCAAACCCTGGGAAAAATGTGGTGATATACTGGTTTGAAAAGACTGACAATGGATACAGTAATTATTTACCATCACATATGTGTAATTAGTGACACAAAGTAAATTAGAAATCTGAAAAATTAAGTATATATTTTGATTTGTTTATTTCTAAATCCTTTGGCAAGCTACCCGGAAGGGGGTGGCGAGCTACTGGTGGCTCCCGAGCTACAGGTTGGAGACCCCTGCAATAGACTATAGTCACGAAAAGCAGACATGATAGAGTAGCATAAACCTCAGATGTCAATAACCAAAGTAAACTCAGAAAAAACACAGAACAGAATAATTTTTTCCCCCACCACTAATGTACAATTTTAGTTTTTGGCTCAAAATAGATTAACCGCATGCACCCTACACAGAGCAGGTGACCGTCCTGAGTAAAAGACTGGTGGATTGGCTTCGCTATGCCAGCATCACTCAGGCAGCTTCACCGGGTGGATTTTTCTCCGGGAGTCGAACAAGACAGGTAGACCATTAACACCTGTTTAGTTTGGTTTTGTATTCATTATTATTGAAAAATGTTAAATGCGTCTTGTTTTTTCTCCCTTAAGCCTTGCCCTATCGCAGAGCTGGATGGAAGCATTTCTGGGGATTTCTTTACAGTGTTGTGTGTGGGCCAGGGCTTCACCGAGGACCAGTGGATGAATGTCTACGCCTTCTCTATTCTACGGAACTGGCTCATCACGTATCACTCTGTTTCCAACTGTAATACTGCAGATCTGGCAGGTATGAACAGCCCTAACCACAACTAAAATACATCACCTTTTCTATTGTATTACTGAGAATATGACCACAGTGAGAGTGTTAGAGTGGTAAAGATAGGACCAGGCATTGCGAACCTTGGTCTGTAAAAATGCGCTATATAAATAAACATTACTGACTTGCTTACCTCAGTTATTCCATGCTTTGTTCTGACCATCTCCAGCTACAGCCAGGCTTCAGTACAGCCTCTCCTTATCCTACTCTCACTCTCCCCCCAATGGTAAGATATGATCCTCGCCTTTTGCATGCAGGAACAGAACAGAACAAATTCTTTCGTTTAATCAAAAAAATGCAAATTTGCTGTAGCTTCTATCCCACAACTCTGTCTAATGAAACTTATCTGCTGATTGTGTGTGTTCTACTCCTTTCACTTGTGTGTTATCAGTGTTGGGAAAGTTACTTCAAAATCGTAATGCATTATGTTTCACTTGTCACTGTTATTTCAAATTACATTACAAAGATTACATTACATTTTTACTCCAAACACTGGTTATTACTGTCATGTTTTAAAGATTAACCAATCATGTTGCAGTAATGTGACAAATGACTGTCTGATTTAATTGCAAGAAAATCATATCTTTCGCTTAAAGTCACTGTGTGTAACTTTTAAACCGTAATAATAGCATGTGTTTTTCCCTGTGTGTATTGCCATGGTATTAAAAACACGTTTATAAAAGTGTGAAATCATGTGTCCACTCCGTGACTGAGCTTTTATCTGCTCAAACCTGACTTAGTCCCATGGAAGTGTAAGGTCCCTGGCTGTAATCTATGAAATAAAACTCCTATACATGTTCCATAATGGGATTAACTTTCTGAAATTGATGTACTGTTGCTTTAAATAATTGAAGCGTAATAAACCAGGCACCAACTCTCACTATTTATTCAAAACTGGGATCATTTCTCTATGGCCAGTGCTGTGTTGGACCAGTTTTTTTTTTTTTTTTAAATCTTATACACAATGTATTATGTTTTTTGCAGACGATCGCTCTGTGGAGGGGTCTGTTATCTCCATGGTTTCCGCCACATCCTCGTCCAGTCGCCTCCTTCCTCCAAAAGAACGTTTGAGAGAGAAGTCTTTCCAGTACTGCCAACGCCTCATCGAACAGAGCGACCGCAGTGAGTTTTCTCTGTTTGTTGCAAGTGAAAATTGGGAGGGATTGGCTTCCTGCTGGTGCCCAGAATCAGGACTAAACATGGGGAGGCAGTGTTTCAGATTTATGCAGGTAAAGTCTGGAACAATCTTCCTGAAAATTGTGATTGCTTCTACTCAGTTTAGCCGTGCATACAACTGACGGATTATATCTTCCCTCTGCTTAAGACTGCATAAAGTCAAATTTGGCAAAATGTGTCTAAATTTGAGCACATGTTGTCTGCTTAAAACCAGATTTGCGACAATACAAGGAGCAGATTTTTTATTTAATTTTTAAATATAAGAAATGTGTCCCTTGGAATGAAACAATTCGGTTATTCGTCCCGCAGTGGAGAAATTTCAGTGTTGCAACACTGACAGATGGGCGGCACGGTGGCTGAGTGGATAGCACTCTCGCCTCTCAAGCACTCTCAAATTTTGTTTTAAGACAGGAATACATCAGAATGTACCCAAATTAGGGTAAAAACCACTCGATTAGAGCATTTATGACCTCATTTTTAAACATTTTTGGCCGTAAATTTGCTGTGATTATTTATGTATCTTGTTTTGTTAAGCACTTTGAGTTGCCTTGGCTCTGAACTGTGCTATGCAAATAAACTCACCTTGCATTTCCTTTGTAACATTGACAAATACTGTTTTTTTCAGAGGCACAAAAACGAATGGACAGCGATTTGCAAAAAGCAGTAAGTCACAAAAACATCTTCCAAAAATCTCAATATTGTGTTAATGTTGTTTTAACGCCGCTTTTCCCCAGTGTCTGGTGGAGGCCGTGTGCATCCTGGACATCCTGTGTTTGGAGGACTGCTCGCTGGTGTACCGCGTGTTCCCGTGTATAAAGGCTCTCTACAGCCGCCTCAGCTCCGACACGTCCTACGCCAGAGTCCTGTTGCCCATCGCACAGTTCTACCTCAACCACGGTCTGTTTCCTCAACATTCTAACATAAGATAGACCTTCATTGGTCCCACAGTGGGATCAATGCCATCGTTGCACACATTACAGCAGAATAAAAGGAGGAAATAAGAGCACTCAGCTTGCACACATCAAACAAGATCTATTTTTTAAGATTCAAGATTCAATGCAAGAATTGATTTGGCCTTTGCTGTAAAACCACATTGGAAAAACTGTGCAAGAGAGTGTGCACCAGACAATGGTACACACCAGAGCTCTTGCCTTGAGATAATAGATAATAAGATGAAATAATAGGATGATAAAATGACAGAAGAAATACAGCTTTGTTCAAGTATAAGTCACTACTGGTGTATACACTGTGGTCAGCTGCATCATGAGGTATTCACAGATATTGTAGTTTAGCAGCAGAGAATATGACCGTCTTTTCAGTATTATTTATTGTGTTTGTTTCTGTGTGAAGGCGAGGTGGCGGCCGTCGACTGCGAGTGCGTGTGGCAACTGGTTTTCAGCCGCTTTCCTGCCGAACTATTCAATGACCCTTTCCTGGCACACGAGTTTCTCCGCTTTGTTCGCCAAAATATACAAAATTTACCAACTAAAGTGCCACAGTACATGCGATCATTCCCAAACTTGCTCAAGGTGAATTTTAAAACAGGATTCAAAGGAACCTACCGCAGTATTATGTATGCTTTTCTCTGTTTTCATTCTCAGTTCTTGGCCTGGGATAGTCCAGCGTTGGTGGATGACTTTGTAGATTTGTTGCCCTCTCTGGTCACTTCTGGAACTGCAGTAGAGCTGCTGCATACTCTGCTGGACCTGCCCTGTCTCTCTGCCACACTGGTCTTACAACAAAGGTATCACTGTCATTTACTGTCATTATTATTTTACATTGCAAATTATATACATTTTTACACAGGTCTGTCCTTCTACCTATAACTGATCCCAACACTCGCAGTCTTCAGGCCCTGGACGCCTTTAGGAATGCCAATTTCCGAGGTCTTTTTCTGTTTCTTCTCCGAAACGATGCAGGCGCAGGTACTTGTAGCTTTTATGTTTTGGATTTTCACAATTCACAGGCTAATAGCGGTTTTTTATTTCCATTTCAGGAGACACGATTGATCGGCTGGGCCTGCTTCATGAGTTGCTGAACGAGTCTGTGGATTGGCCTCGAGTCGTGCAGTGTGCGCAGACAGTTCCTGTGCTGTTGCATATATTTTTCAATACAGTGATTAAGGTTTGTTACTTGTTCAAATGGTTCAAATTGTATAGGTTGAATCTGCATTTGACAGCCAGATCCTGTTAGACCCCTGAAGTTAAGCAAGGCAGGGCCTGGTTAGTACTGATTAGAGACCTCTGGGAACATCAAGTGCCATAGTGGGGGGCTGTATAGTGCTAAACTGTCGTTGTGTCCTTAGGCAAGACACTTCACTCACATTGTCCAGAATGAGCCTGGTGTGTCCATAAAGGATTGGTGGCACATACTAGTGACAGTAAAAGTTTGAGTGTCCAGAAAAGCGCTATATAAAACCAATGAATTTGGTTTTGTTTATTATTTTTTCATTATTATCATACCATGTAAAGGGAATGTGTACTTGAGGGATGAGGATCAGTTGGTAGAGTATTGGTCTTGGGGCTGATCAGTTGTGGGTTCGATCCCCCTCACAGGACCTACTCCCTCTGATGTCTCCTGTTATTGTGTCCCTGGGCAAAACACATCACTGTTACATGACTGATATATATAAAAACATTTTTACTGGATGGTAATCTTACCCTCTCTGAAGCCCCCGCTGTAGATCATGGCCTGCAGGGGAATCAGAGAGGGGCTGGTGCTATGAAGAATGAGTGGCAGGTCTATTCGCCACCCACGATCTAGATATGGATTAATAAGGGGATGAAAATTAATGAATGAATGTGTACTGTATATACTAAATTATCCTCAGGTGGCTGATGAGAAGCTGTTTGCCCAGTTGATCCTGGTGCTGCTTGAAAGAAGCAGTCTCCTCCTTAAAGTTCCCAACTACAAGAATGAGATTCATAGGTAAAGTGTTAATCATTGCCTCCCATGACCTCGATGTCTTGACTTGCTCTGGCCTCGTCTTGCAGAGTGTTCAGCTACCACCTGCTGAAACTATGTAAACTCCATCCTTCACTCGTGGTCGACCAATCACATGAGCTGCTGGAATTTGCTGGAACAACTTCCAATGTCTACAACAAAGAGGAACTCTACACTCATGTCGTAAGGATCATGTTTGTGTATATTGGACCTGTGTTAGTGGACTTGATTTCACTGAAACTGCAGGCCGATGTGTTTTCAGGTGTGGGCGCTTGGGGAGTACCTGTCTCTGTCTTGTGACTCTCGTTGCTCTGTGCGGCACATTACTTCTTGTTTTGAGGGGTTGGAAGCTGTGCTGTTTGAGATCACTTCCTCTGCTCCACCTCCAGGGGGCGTGTGTCCTAAGCCGCGAGTGATAACGACTCTGATGAGTGCTCTTGCTAAACTGGCATCACGCTCCCATGACCTGATCCCAAGGTTAGACTTCATTTTTACCCTTTTCCTTCGAACACTTGACTCGAAACATGACTCTGTTTTGTGGCGCTGTAGGGTTTCTCTGTTCCTCTCTAAACTGCGGAATGTCTCCAGAGGGGGCTCGGTGACCTGGTGCTCGGATGATGATGATCTGGTTTCCATAGTAACTAGAGGAGAGGAGTTGTGGTCATTGCTGAAAACGCCAGGTGTGGCCCAGAGCGTCCTGACTCCGCCCCCTCATGTGACAAAGCCGCAGTGGCACAGAGACACTAATGTAGCCACGCCGCTGCAGCTGCGCACCCTGACCCACCTCACTCAGCCTCTGTGAACCATTCTGCTCCTCTTTTGTCAATAAAAGCAAATCACGAAGTGAAATATGTGCTTGAATATGTATTCTGACGACAGACATTTAAACATAGTATATTTTTATTATTGCATTTGTTTTACAATTTTAGGATTTCATCTTACAAAATAGATTTTCACTTTATAACACAGAAACAGAAAAGCCCACGTTGTGATCTACACATTGTTAGAGGCATGAAAACGATAGATAAAACATCTATAAGACTTATATAAAATATAGACATAGTATTTTAGTTAATTAGTGCTCATTAAGAAGTGATTCCATCTAAAAATATAGCTTCATGAATGTAACTCATTATGTGTTTATGAAATTCAAAAAAACCCTGCCCCAAAATCACAACCAGACCAGCTCGCTCTTGTGATGAATAAAACCACTGTTAAAATAGTGTTTTGAACATTATATCATTATCTGATCAGTAATTATAAAAAACAGTAACCTTTTGAAACATGGTCACAATACCAAGTCAATAGATTCAGTGCAGTGGAATGTTTTGGAATGGCACATTGCTTGGAATGTATTTTAGAAGGACTTAAGTAAACACAGTGCTGCCGACGTATCCTTATAACCTCAGACATCATGAATTACTGTTTGCTGTAATAGTTTGGCCCCTAGTGATAATTAGCAGCGAACACAGCCCCCTATCACCCAGCCCCCCATTACCGGGAGGTCTGCAGCAGGGGCCCCGGCACGTACAGGTACTTCCATATAGCGTAATAGTGAACGCCTGCACCAGCTGCCACAAACAGGTGCCAGATGGCATGGGCAAACGGGACCACGCCGTCGCTTTTGAAGAAGGCCACGCCCACCATGTACAAGACTCCGCCCACTGCCAGCTCACACACACCTGCACGCTCCACCTGCAACAGCACAAACAGGGTGAGGAAAACCTAAGAGGGGGGGCAAGGATTGTACACAGACTAAGAAACACACATCAGCAGATCTGGACTTTTTTTGGGTTTACTGTATGTTTGAGCTAAACTTGGTCCTAAATTGCATGATATACAGTATATGTGGTAGTTCTGAATGGGGAATGACCCAAAGGACAAATGTAGAATACTAAATTACTACATTCAGAAGAAATATCTGAGTTGCAGAGAGAGCAGTGCGCCATTAAGCTTGAGTAGAATACATATATACATTCTTCAAACATCCATTTGGAATCTAATTTGTTGTACATTGCAAACCAGTGCACAATCACAACTATTTTGGTGAAAGATATGATAATAGTTAAAGCTGGGGTACCTAATTTTCAAACCACACAAGAAATTGACTACCCCTCAAAACAGTTATTTTCTTGTGAATTTTTGGTCTCTCTCACACAACTTTAGATCAGCCTTTGCAGTTAGAAAAGTGAAAAGGGGAGAAAAATCCACTCACCATCCTCAGCTCTCTGCCTAAACTGTCAAATAGTAACTCACAGGGATCTTACAAGTATGCTTGCTCATAACCTTTTTGCTCATAACCTTTTTGTTTCAGCCTTTAATCCTTTTGAGCAGAATTAAATACAAATAAACAAATAAATCAATAAATCTACATTGTCTATTGAGATGAAAACAGCATTTTCTGGTCTCATTTTAACTCCACTCATATTATTAAAATACAAATGAATAGGTATAGATAGAATAGATAGGTACCCCAGCTTTACGGCTACATTTATTTTCTGTTTTTCTATTTCCCCAGCTATTGGCAAAGAGCTTTATTATTTAACTATATCTGTGACTGGTAAGGCCCACACATCCTCTACACCTGTAATTTCTCCATTGTGAGATCAAGTTTATTTTATTTGAAGGTATGTTAACAATACAACACAACAGATCTACGGAAGTCTGCTTTGGAAATTCCACATACAAAACATCTGGGGCTTTAAATATACAATCCTTGGATTTTTTTTTTTTTTTGCACACATACAATATCAGGAAGGAAACACATTTATTTGCCCAAAAAAAAACGAGAGGTTACCATAGACAGAATGACCAAAGCCGGCACTGCACCCATGGACACATATCCCAACAGCTCCAGCGGCTTATACCTGCAGCGACCACAGAGGCAACATGAGACGCCAAAACATCCACGTTCAACACTACACGCCATTGTTTTGGCTTTAAACATTATTGCACCCTGGTGTCCTGTGTCAAACCGGGACAAAGGCACTAGACCGGGTTACCTCTCATGGAAGAAGAAGACGAATAAGGACCCCACGCAGGCCATGACCCAGATCAGCCAGCGCATGTGACAGGCCCAGGGTCCGAGCTCGCGCAGCATCAGCCTAAACAAACACAAGAAGCACAGTCAGGTCTTTGTGCGCCAGAGATTTGAATACCACAAACTTTATCGCTGGTTTGTTCTCGGCAAAAATTTGAATGGTGTTAATTTTATGTGTGGCGTTTATGACCATGGGACTCACCAAGGGGAGTAGGTGGCGGCGATGAAGAAGTAGATGGCCATTCTGTCGCACATGTGGAACCGCTGCTCGACTTTCCTATGGGTGATTATAGAGAGAACATGTGTCATCGTTTTATATTTTTCAGGTTTTGTTGTGTTTTAAAGCAAACAAACAAATAAATAAATAAATAAATGTCTATTCAGTAACAGGGGGAACAAGCATTTGTTTATCCACTTTAAATGATATTTTTTACCTTTGTATATTTGTTTGTTAGTGTCTGTGTGTGTGTTTAATATTTGTATTTCCTTTTTTTAAATTAAAAAAAAAAAATTACGGATTATGGCTGCAATGTGTTTTTTCTCTTTTTTTGTCGTTTTATACATAACTGAATGCTTTAAATGCGTTACAATTTTCAATAAATAGAGTTGAAAAAATGTCTATTCCAAAGTAACAATATTATTTCTATTTAAAGCTGGGGTTCAAACCACTGCATGTAGTCAAATCCATCAAAACTTATTCCTGGCTCTGAAAACATTTGCATCACTAGTTTTCACTTGTTTTTGTTTTTTTTTGGTTTTACGGAAAAATAAAAAAGAGAGAACCACCCCCTCTCAGCCAATCAGCTCTCAGGGCTCTTTCTACAAGTTTGCAAAAGATAACATGTTTTTCTGATAAGGTTAAGAGAGCAGGTTGCGGTCTCATTTGTTCACTGTGTTTACTTTTACAAGACTGCTATGGGACAAACATGACGTATTATTTGTATTATTTAAAGGGGGACATTTAGTGTATTTAGAACCTGTTGTACCTATGAAATTTGTTTTGTTTGTTTGGATGGATGTGTTATTGCTGCTACTGGACACCTGAATTTCTTCTACAGGGGTCAATTAAGTATCTATCTATCTATCACATTTTGTAAACAATGTAGTTATGGTGCATAGTGGCTTTGTGCTAATTCTGTTAATAAAAACAAGTTGACACCTGACACAGAGTATTTCAAAGGGGGAGTGAGTATTTTTGTAATAACAGTTTTAAGGTTTGACTCGAATTGTCCATAAACACTCGTTTGTTGTGTCTTTCTGAAGCCAATGTTGAAGGCCACGGTTCTCTGTGTTATCAACATGGGATCAGCTGATGTTGACCGTTACATATATAGTATTAATGTGAGTGACACCATGGAGCATCTGTTGTTTACATCACGCCCTTCTGGCCTCATCATAATCTGTGATGTGTACAGTGCAGTGACAGGCATCTGCTCGTGAGCCGCCACGCACCGGAGATGGCCAATTTTCCAGGCCGCGGTGTGGAACAGGGTGGAGGTGACGAAGAGTCCAGTTAGGCCGCTTCCATAGAGCCAGGCGGCGACACGATGCCATTGGTCCACAGACAGGAAGTACAGCACCGACCCGCCAACCAGGCTGGGGAGGATCCAGAACTGGGAACAGTGAGAAATAATACAGTTTGCTCCAACAAGAGGAAATGAGTTTTCAAAGATTACATCATCAATCATTAAATAATCTGTATCACAGTCATGCATAAAGGTTTAAGGTTGTGAACTGGTCACCCCCGGCCTGGACCCCCTAACCCTAAGCCTTGTGTACATTTGTTAACATTTATGGACATGGATCCTCCCGCTCCCCAGTGGAAAAACGGCTCTTATGTGTTTTTTGTTATAGCATTTCCTGTGTTCAAACTGTTTGATTCTCTGATCTGTTTTTGGCAACTTTGTAGAGTCCTCTGAGACAAAACAATGTAATTGATTAAAATGTTTTTGATGTGAAAGTCGATCAGAATGAAGCTGGGTTGTGGTGCGATCAAAGCTTTGTAATACCACTAATGAAGCTGCTAAGTGGGACGTGTATGGTTTCTTGAGACAGGTTTGAACTTTATAAGGGATGAAATAACTTGTTGAGTGTGTGAAATATTGTAGAACTGTCAACGATCAACACTAGATCCTATAGAATAGAACCTCTGCCTCTGAGCTTGTGTTATGTTCAGTGAAATTCAATTCACTTCAAATAACTTTATATATTTGTGAGTATTTTTATATGCAGACTTAGCACCAGTGGGGTTACAGAAAAACACAGAAACACAAGTTAGAAAATACAACAAAAGTGCAGAAATGCAGTATAAAATATATCAAACAGATCATAATCTGCTTCAGACAAAACAGACCATCTCCCCATCAGCGGTTTACAAGGCGGATTGAGGTGGGGAGGAAGCTGGATGTGGCCCTTTTCATTTTACCAGACTGTAGAGTCAGTGCAACAGTTCTTGATGATCATCGCTGTATACAGTATTTGCATTCTACGCATATATCGTCGTTTTGCTGAGAGTGCATGTATCTTAACACGCCAGATATAAATGATATATATTTCAGATACATTCCCGAAGCGAAAACAGTAGGAGAAGCCTAAGTCGATTATGTGCATGTTTTCTGAATGATTTCTTTCATGTTTGTGTTTGATTCACTGTCCACGCTCTCACAGCCAGAGGCCTGGGGGATTACAGCAGATTAGAGAGTGCTACAGGCTGAATCACAGATTAACAAGTGCACTGAAAAGCCCACCTCCTCACAAACACAGCATCATTCCAGCGCATGGAAGCGTTTCTCTATTTCTTACATAAAGTGCTCTTGGTTTTACTTACTCCATGTGTGGCACAGTTGGCTGCATGTTCGTATTCAGTGGGCTGGTATCTTTTACTGGGCGGCACTCTGCAGTTCATAAATCTATAGAGATGAAAAGAGAGAATAGTTAAGGGCATTTTTTAAAATATAAAATACATGATCTAGTAATGTAGTATTTAGATTTCCCAGTATCACCGGATCAACACTATGTCTAAAACTAAAAACGCCATAGTTCAGTACTTATTGGACTATTAAACAGATCTCATTACTTTTCGTCCTACTGTATTGTTTATTTTAGTTTTTTTTTTTTCTCCTGATCTTGAAATTTAGTTTGGGTTCTATTTTGAAAGGGTTTTGCCCCATACTTTGGAGACTTTACTTAATGAATTGGATTAGGCAAAAATAAGTTATACTTCAGCCTAATCCCTTCAGTTACAATTGCGTTTGTAAATCTATGTTAAAGCATGTACACTACTGACATAAGCTACATTGTTTTTGTAACCTTGTCCTTTTTTTGAATGCCTTTTTTATGTCAAAAAATAATAATAATAATTTGAAAATAAGCATTGTGTAACACTGACGCTAAAAACTTTAGTATTGCGACAGTGGCTCAGTTGGTAGAGCGTTGACCTTTGAGCCTGACAGTCGTGGGTCGAGCCCAACACGAGACCTTCTCCAACATCAAACATTGATGCTTGCTGTTATTGTGTCCTTGGGCAAGACACTTAATCCCACTTTGCCTGAAGCCCCAACTGAAAATTCAAGGCTATGCTCTCACCGACAGAGCAGCCATCCTCCTGTGGACTCACCACCTGCAGGAGGATCAGTGAGGGGCTGGTGCTCTGTGAATTGGGTGCAGCTCTGACTGCCTCTCTCAACCAAAAATGGATTAAGGGGAAGAAAATAGATGTATTTCACCTAATACCAGTAATCTGCACATTCTCAATTTGCTGCTATATGTTAATTTTATTGTATCTTGCACATTGTGACCTGGGACTGAATAATATGTTATATTTTACTTAACTGTATTTTCATATGTAAGTAATATGATTGTATCGTGCAGGAAAGTAGCTTGATGCCTAATCTTGTGCAGCCATCTTTTTAATGTAACTGCACATTGTCTTTAATAAATTAAACTCTAGATTCTAAATTAAGCTCGAGTTTTTTGCTTGCCGACGCCGATGATGATCCAGGACATTAACAACATTTATCAACATTAATGGACGTCTGCCCCTTATGGACCAATGTTTTTTATTATTTTTTTTTCATTCCATTTCTTATGTTTGAACTGTTTGATTATCTGATCTGTGCTGGTAAATTCAATGGTTTTGTAAAGTCCTCCGAGATAACTACTGTTGTTGTGATTTAGGGCAGATTAGGGCTCTAGACGAATTGATTTGAACTGAATTGAATAGAGTGAAACAAAGCTGTTTTCACTGGACACAGGTGGACGAGGTGTTTTAACCCACTGTTGACTCGAGATGGTCAAAACACTCGGGTTTTGACAACAACATTCCAACTAAAACCTGATACCTTACTGAAAATCTGCACAGTTAAATGTTTAATGGAAAGGCAAGTTTATTTGTATAGCCAAATACATACACAAGGTAACTCAAAGTGCTGAACAAAACAAGATAGAGACAGTGGGGCAAAAAGTATTTAGTCAGCCACCGATTGTGCAAGTTCTCCCACTTAAAATAATGACAGAGGTCTGCAATTTTCATCATAGGTACACTTCAACTGTGAGAGACAGAATGTGAAAAAAAATCCACAAATTCACATTGTAGGATTTTTAAAGAATTTATTTGTAAATTATGGTGGAAAATAAGTATTTGGTCACTTCAAACAAGGAAGATCTCTGTCTCTCACAGACCTGTAACTTCTTCTTTAAGAAGCTCTTCTGTCCTCCACTCGTTTCCTGTATTAATGGCACCTGTTTGAACTCCTTTATCTGTATAAAAGACACCTGTCCACAGCCTCAAACAGTCAGACTCCAAACTCCACTATGGCCAAGACCAAAGAGCTGTCGAAGGACACCAGGAAAAGAATTGTAGACCTCCACCAGACTGGGAAGAGTAAATCTACAATAGGCAAGCAGCTTGGTGTGAACAAATCAACTGTGGGAGAAATTATCAGAAAATGGGAGACATACAAGACCACTGATAATCTCCCTCGATCTGGGGCTCCACGCAAGATCTCATCCCGTGGGGTCAAAATGATCATGAGAACGGTGATCAAAAAACCCAGAACCACACGGGGGGACCTGGTGAATGACCTGCAGAGAGCTGGGACCAAAGTAACAAAGGTTACCATCAGTAACACACTACGACAACAGGGAATCAAATCCTGCAGTGCCAGACGTGTCCCCCTGCTGAAGCCAGTGCATGTCCAGGCCCGTCTGAAGTTTGCCAGAGAACACATGGATGATACAGCAGAGGATTGGGAGAATGTCATGTGGTCAGATGAAACCAAAGTAGAACTGTTTGGTATAAACTCAACTCGTCGTGTTTGAATACTGAGTTGCATCCCAAGAACACCATACCTACTGTGAAGCATGGGGGTGGAAACGTCATGCTTTGGAGCTGTTTTTCTGCTAAGAGCCAAAACCTCCTTCCATCAGTGAGAGCTTTGAAGATGAACCGTGGCTGGGTCTTCCAGCATGACAATGATGAAGCATTTGAAAGTCCTGGAGAGGCCTTGCCAGTCTCCAGACCTCAACCCCATTGAAAATCTGTGGAGGGAGTTGAAAGTCTGTGTTGCTCGGCAACAGCCCCAAAACATCACTGCTCTCGAGAAGATCTGCATGGAGGAATGGGCCAAAATACCAGCTACTGTGTGTGCAAACCTGGTAAAGACCTATAGTAATCGTTTGACCTCTGTTATTGCCAACAAAGGTGATATTACAAAGATTGAGTTGAATTTTTGTTATTGACCAAATTTATATTTTCCACCATAATTTACAAATAAATTCTTTAAAAATCCTACAACCTGGATTTTTGTTTTCACATTCTGTCTCTCATAGTTGAAGTGTACCTATGATGAACATTACAGACCTCTGTCATTACTGTAAGTGGGAGAACTTGCACAATCGGTGGCTGATTAAATACTTTTTTGCCCCACTATATCAATTTTTTTACATTTTTATAACTAGTTTGAGCCACATGCCAAAGCAAATTCCTAGTTTGTGACTTCCTGTAACTTACAATGACGATAAAAACACTGCTCTGACAATAGCCCTAATCACATAAAAACATGTCCTGTGTATTTCCCTCACATTTCCTCGTCTCTCTGTGCGGTTTTCAATAACAAACTGATGCAGGAATGTGTGCTACATCCTTAGCTCTGGAGATCAACAGTTGATAGAGCCGTGTCCAGACCCCTTCTTACCCCCAGGAGGCGCTCTAGCAGAATAAAATACATACATTTGCTGCACCACTATAAAGGCTGCAGAGTCTAAAGAAGAAGCGGCCTATAGTCTGGCAAGTACTGTAAATAAGAAAACTTTGTTTGTGAGTGTGTGTGTGTGTGTGTGTGTGCATGTGTGCGTGTGTGCGTGCGTGCGTGTGTGTGCCTTAATTGTCAGTGCAGATCACATTTACCTACCGGCAGGCTGTGCTAAAAATGTTAACATCAATAGAGACCAATAATAGCTACACACTTGTTTAGAACACAAACACATGCTCCTCGCCTTTCGATGTGAATCCCTTATTTACTGTTGAATAAGTTTGGCAATATAGAATTTTGTATTTGACCTGATCTGATCTGATCAGACCTCAGAAGCTAAGCAGGACGAACTCAGGACCACTCAGGACCACTGTGCCCTTACAGTCACATAGTCTTTGTGCAGCTGATGTAGAGGAACGTGGGATTTTGATTTTAAGCTATACATATTTTATTTATTTTTTCCCAGATATACTTTTATATCAATTTAAACATTAATTTAAATAAGATAGCTGTGAAAACAATTTTAACACAGATTCATTCTTGATCAGAAAAACAATGGAGAAGGTTCCTGTTTCAAGGGTTGAATCTTTAGCCTCAACCCCTCAGCTCGAGCAGCAGCAACTTGTGCAGGTTTAGTGACTGGCAACCCTGGTTTAATATTTAACCCTAGAATTCCCAGAATTCTGAAACTACTAGAACTCCCAAAGCCATCATTTTGACTGCTCTCCTTCAAACCAATGGGATTCTGAGAGATAAATGTTTAGTCTTCCACCCATTTTACTACCTTTCAGTTTTTCCCGTTAGTCATGCGGACAAGTCCAGAACCACCACAATCAGAGGCTTTAACCTCCATAGAATGTTGGTTACCAGGAATGTCATTTTGGTAAAATTCTGGTTAGAGGTGTTCTATTTTACCTATATTTAAATGCCATTCTATTATTAATTCTGTAAACCTGTTGTCACTTTGCCTCTGCCCAGTGAATACGGATGAAAATTTGCTTGTAGATATGTCCGGTTTGAATAATACATTTAGTGTGCAATGTCCCTGTCAAATAAACAAATAAATAAATAAAATAGAATTACTCACATATAAAAAATAAAAAAAAAGAAAGACCAATTAAATCGATAAAAAATGTCAGAGAAATAAACTGCATATTGAGTCAGAAAATGAGCTGAGTATTACACTAAAACTGAAAGCCGTCAAATCAATTGCTCTGTGAGTTCTACTGTTAATTGTTGTGATCTATGCGACCTCAAGCTATTGATCCTTTCCGATCTAATACTGTTCGTAAATATTATTTTTATTGTAACTATGGCAACGTTTGACGTCACCTACCCCGATCTCAAACTCCATTTGCATTTGGGCTGAAACATACGTGAAGAGACGGACTCCATTCATAGTTAGCACTCACGTTGCTTTTAATCAGCTTACACTAGGGAAAAAAACATCTGGAGCAGTTACGAAATCCCATTTTACACACGTCAAGACACACACAGAGCAGTTGTGCGCTGGGCCACAGGTGTTTCTGTTGGTCAGCTGTGTTATTTGACTATTTTTAACGGTCTATGCTTTGAATAAACACAGACGACTGGATTCTGCAACTAGAGTATGAAGTTCGAGTCTCCGATAACAGCTTGTTTTTTTTAAGATTTTTAATGCTGTTTGTTATTTTAATCTTTTTTTTCTTTTTTTATTAAAAAAGCACTTTGAGTTGCCTTGAATATGACTGCTATACAAATAACCTTGCCTCTCATCTAAACAGACAGTACTGTTTGAATACCAATGTTTCAAACTGTGTATTTCTGTTTATTTAGTGTCCTGTTTGACAGTGGTGTCGCCACACGTTTATGGACAGTTACTGCAAATATCTTTCTTTCATTATGGGCCATTGAACCTCCAAATGTTGCATTATATTTGGATTAATATAATATGCAAGAAAAAAATTAATACATCATGTAATAAATAAATTAAGTAAAGATATAAGCAAGTAGATCGTTATATTCACTGTCAGGACGTTATGTCATCAGTAAACAAAGTATCTGCTAATGCTAAATAAACTGGTATACATTACTTGAGTTAGTTGGCGTTCTTTTTTCAAAAAGTAGATACTAGGTTTACATGACATAAAGCTTTAAGTTTTTGATTTTGTAAAAACTCTAAATCAATAGGTTGCCCAAAACGCCGTTAGAAATGATAACTCGATAAGGTATACGGTGTAGAGTGTGCTTTTTTTTTTATGTTGGTGTGATCCTCGTTCCTACTGTTCTGTAACGCTGAAATTTCCCCACTGGAAAAAAAGAAACGGATACAAGATCTCTTAATCTTAATATAAATCTATACTGACTTGTAAGAAGACTGAAAGAGGATTGACGGTTTCCTTAATCTCTTTTCTGTCTTATAAATCTATTCTAAAGCTGCAATAAAGGCAAAAATATCCACACAGCCTGTAATCGATATGTTTGTAAGTGTTTGCTATTGATGAGTTTGTACTCTTGTCTCAGTTTGTACCTGTACCAAAACACTTAAAATAAAAATGCAATAATAAGTGGTGAACATTTGCTTTGAAACTACACATCAATCATTTGGCAGGACTTTTGTTTGGATTCTCCTTCTCTGTATTTGCAACACGAGTGGTCCAGAGCGCTGTTGCTGTGGTGCTGCTCCATCAATGGCCCTGAATGCAACACTGTAATCAGTTATGACAGAGCGGTGTGTGTGCGTGTGTAGTGTGCGCGTGTGTAATGATGTGAGAGAGATGGGGGTGGAGAGAGGATGAGAGCAGAGAGGACATTGTCATCATTGAACAGTCTTGCATTCTCTTTGCTCAGACCACTGTGTAGACCTGCCCACTGTGGAGGGGCCTGGTACAAGGGCTCACTCGCCTCTCGGTGCACATTGCATTCTTCTATAGGATCTTTAGCTTTTAAGACGATCTGCTGCACTGTGGGGACATTGGTGCAACTGTACAAGATTGTTTCAGAGATCAGAGCGCTTTTTATTTTTAGAAATCTACTTATCCACACCATGAGACTGTGGTTTGCATAACGATGGCCGCGTGCACAGTCACACAACAACAGTGCTTTGGCAAGTTGTTTGATAATGCGTGAAAATACCCTACTGAAGTATTACCAGTTTCATTACTGTAACTTTGGACGTTTATGATCTTTGCAATAGATTGTAGTCAGTCAAAGAATTTCGCTCAAATATTGTGTGCTATGTGAGGTGAACCCTGAATCAGCAAGAGGATGAACAGCAGTGACAGCCAAACATCTTATTGTTACTAATGTGTTACGAGTAGTCAATGACAGGTACCTAAATACCTGATACGTTTTTTAAATAAACCATCACAAAAAATGCATGGGAGACAATGCAAAGATAAAGTTTTTCAATGCCTGCAATTCTCCACTATCTTAGTGGACTTAAAATGCAAAACGACATGCTGTATTCTGTAATAAAATATAATTTATTCATATCAAATGTGTGTTGGGACTATTTCAAAATGGGAACTATATGAATTTGAGAATTCAACATTTTAAATGACATTCATCAAATAGATTCCCTGCTTCCATGGTTTTTTTTTTTTTGGATCCTCTAGAATCCCTTTGAGATGTCAGCATGATTTATCAAGACTTTTGATTTGTTTTGACGATCTGATGGTACCCTAAGCCAAGTGTACTACTGTAGCTACTTTTATTGGACTGCTTCCACACATTGAAGCACTCTCGCTTTGACAGAGACCTCGGACACACACTGGAAACAACATTATGCCATGGCGATACCGTGGGGAAGTTTACCTTCCATATTTGGTCTTCTTAAAGTCCATCTCGTCTTGTGTGCACGCTCTTTCTGTAAAGTGTACAGCAGAGCGCCTCGTCTCCTCCTACGGATTTCCCATTCCGGATGTCCCACCGACGCACGTCCAAACACATAAGTCCTGCAGCATGCGGCTCCTGAGAAGGACCAGGGGGACGCGTGTTTCATGTGATGACCGATGACCGAGGGGCACGGCTTGTTTGTGTCGCGCTCTCTGAAATGTTGACACTTTTGTCCAGAGTCTGAGATGTATTCGCAGGATGTTCCACTAGACTGGGTTTATAACCCCTCCTCTGCCCCCTCCCCTCTTCCCACTAATGGTTGATGATAAGAGGGCAACAAACAGCAGCCCCTCCCGCCACACGACCACTGCCGCCCGAGTTCCGTCCCAGTACAACATGCGCTTCTATCAAGAAAAGGAACAGAAAACTTTATTTTTGCATTGGTTCTTATGCATTCTTCATTGTGGTTTATTTAAAAACGCATCAGGTGTATAGTTACTTGACATTGCTTACTTATAACACATTAGTAACAACACATGTGTTGCTGTCACTACAGTAAGGTAACAACATTTCGTATAAGACAGAAATGTGCACATAGAAAACTCTTATTTTACTAATATGTAACTTCACAAAAGCAGGATAGCGGGAGTTGTGAAGGACGCTAAAAACATCGAATGTTTGTTTAATTGATTACCAGGTCGCAAAATCAACCAGTACTCATTCAGAGTACACTTTATTTCTTACGCGCATTTACTACTGTACATTATTAGGAGGCGCACTTCAGCGATTACATGTAATAAACCAGATATGAGGCACACAAAAGAGAGTGTTGGTGATTTCAATGGAAAAAGTAAAACTGAAAGAAAAGTCACTGTAAAAACCTTAGAACATAGAGATAGCTCTATGTTCTATATTTTACCAGGATTGTTTAACTGAATCTAATTTATGAACAGCTCATTGTATTCATTTTGGCATTTAACGACACCATGAGAATCTGTCTTTTGTAAGGTAAACAAGAGTAATGGGGATGATGAGACGGATATCTAGAATGCGCCAACACTGTCACCTCGTGGTAGACGTGAGACATGTTCCAATTCATATGATGTTTGTTAATAGGATAAAAATGGGTGATAGTGGTCGTATAAAGGGTCAAAGTATACATAATACAGTGGGGTTACATGAGTGGAGCTTGTACTGTACATGGTACTGTACGGCTGATGTGACCGTCCTGTCTCTTTAAGGGTTTTCGCCAACCCTTATCTGCGCCTGCGCAGAAGGAGAGTGCAACAGCCTCAGTGAAAACAACAACAACACTACAGTGGGGCTGGCGGAGAGATGGCCCCGTGAAGCATACGTCTGAGGCCCACACTACTGTACACATACTCACAGCTGCTACTTCCTCGGAGCTGTTGATGTCGATGGTGCCGAGCCCATGAACTTGGCGAGTCAAAGCGGGGAGGCTGGCGGAAGCCAGCTCCTCTTCGCCAACTTTAACCAGGATAACACGTAAGCCAAGGCCGGGGAGAGGGTCTGATCCACTGGCCTGTGATATCTGGCTAGTAGCCTTAGCTCCCTGTCTGAACACAAACCAATCACCAAATTAACAAAAGCTCAAATGGAACTCGAGTTCTGTTTACAAATGACTTTCATTTCAGCTATGTCCATGCAATCATCCTGATTTATTGTTAACTATAGCAGCCTCTTTAGCATAGCCTGTAGCTAACATTTAGCCGTGGTGTAGAACATGTTTACAGTGGTTGTGAAATTTAAACACATGACACAACTACTGCTCCAGCAGGGGATAGAGATAATAACGGTGTCTCTGTTTCTAAATGCTGTTGAAATAGTGATGTTAACCTGCCTAATCTTTGACCACTTTAGCGCTTGAGTGGGGAAGTCCTGTTTTGCTGCTTCCAACACAAAAGCATTCCGAAATTATTGTTAACATCGTAGATGGTCAATTGCCATTAGTAATTTGTGTTAATACCTTCTGTTTTAGTCAATTCACTTTTGATTATCCATTTGTTGTAAGCATATGGGACTCATTATCCTTGTATTGTTGCTATTTTCCCCAGGTCCTTGGCTGTTGGTACAAAATCTGGTTACAAGTTTTTCTCTCTTTCTTCTGTGGATAAATTGGAGCAAATTTATGAATGTAGTAAGTCATTACCTCTTTTTTGATCATGTTATTTGTCCAATCTTTGTTTGCTTAATATAAATATCAATATATGTTGAGTCTATTATGTAGTAGTCGTGCAGCAATGTGTCTGTCTGGATTTCCACTGTTTTCATCTGGGTTATGTGCTTCCTATAGCAGACACAGAGGATGTATGCATTGTGGAGCGGTTATTTTCCAGTAGCCTGGTGGCTATTGTTAGCCTCAAGGCTCCCAGGAAGCTCAAAGTCTGTCACTTTAAGAAGGGAACTGAGATATGCAACTACTCATATTCCAACACTATTCTGGCAGTTAAACTCAACAGACAGGTAAATATGATATTGTGATTTACACTATTGTCTGTATTGGCGGCACGGTGGCTTAGTGGGTAGCACTCTTGCCTCAGGGCCTTTCCGAGTGGAGTTTGCATGTTCTCCCCGTGTCTGCGTAGGTTTCCTCCGGGTACTCCGGTTTCCCCTACCACTTAAAACTTGTGCAATTGTTCAGGATGAATGAGTTTGTGTTTGTGAGTGCAAATGTGGGACAACGGATGCAAATTAGCCAATGGCTACAATCCGGGGTGATGTGTTCATTAACATGTACTGTCCCAACCAAATAAACAATAAATAACAGTAAATATATTGAATGAATCATGTACTATGTTGTCATTATGTGTTTTCACCTTCAGCGGCTTATAGTTTGTCTTGAAGAGTCACTTTACATCCACAACATCCGTGATATGAAAGTGCTGCACACGATCAGAGAAACTCCCCCCAATCCTTCTGGTGAGTGGAACCATCCTTGCATTTCCATGATAAAAGCTTTGCTAATGTTTGGGGAGTAACAAACCGGTTCATCAACAACCCCCCACCCTGGTTTAACAACAACCCCCCATCCCCACTGTGTGTGACTCTCTATTCCCCTGCAGCAGGTCGACCGGGGGCCGGGTCGGTGTGGGGCCATCCCCTACAATGTTGCTTTTCCTCATGAAATAAGTTTGGTCGTCTTAGTGGAGTTTGTGTCTTTAGAGCTGGGATCTTGGGTTTGTTTCTTGGGCCAGGCATGGTGTGGAGTTTCCATATTCTCCCCGTATCTGTGAAGGGTTACTCCAGGTGTTCCAGTTTCCCCTATCACTAGAAACCAAGGCCTTTAATGGTGAATGTGTGTGTGTGTGTCTGAGGAAGATTTGCCCAAGACTGCATTCCGGTGTCCTTAAGGATACTAATTTTAATTCATGCATTCATTTGTGGAGTTTTGGGTTAGATAAGATAAGAGACGATAACCTTTATTCATCCCACAGTGGGGACATTTCAAGCTTTGCACACCATCCTTTCATATCAACTCTTGGCTCTTTAGACAGGGAGCATTTCTGATCAAGAGGAATCAGGTCTTTCCACAGGTTTTCAGTTGGATTTAGGTCTGGACTTTTACAGATGAAAACATACTGTTGCTAACATGGACAGATGCTAACATATAACTACACTTTACTTGCGCTAGAATACACAGTACTTTATACTTGCCTCTTATTGCCAAATGTTTAACTTTTACACCTCTTTTACTATTACTTTCAAGATAGAGATTTTATACTTATTATTTGCTGCTAGAGTTAGAGTTTTTGTTTTGTTTTAATTTGTATAGCTATTATTCACTTAACTTGTGCCGTGGGCTCCTCTTTCCTTCTGTCCTATAACTTGTGATGCAACACTGAAATTTCCCCACTGTGGGACGAATAAAGGATCTCTTAATCTCTTAACCCATGAATATGTTGTTTTATAAATCATTTCATTATTGCTCTGGCTTTATGTTTATGCGCATTTGACATATTATAAATTAGTTGTCATTGTCTCATCTCACATGACGCCTTGTTCAATATGTTAGCTGTGTGCCCATATGACTTTTAAAAACGGCAAACAGAATTTACTGACTTTCGTTCAACAATTGCAAAAGTTCGAGTTGCATTGGTACATTTGCACACCATTAAGTTGTAAAAGGTACAACAAATCTTATATTAAAATATTATAGATAGAAACATCTAGATACTTTCTAGACTGTTGGAAAGTATAGATACTAACAAAGCAATCCTCCATACCGCCCCTAAGCAGCCCGGTTGTATAGTTCCTTTTGTGGCTTCCAACTCCTTGCTCATGTGCTCGACAGTCAGGAGTTAATTACGTCTAGTGATTAACAAGTTACTTTCCATTTGTTTTGTGTAGTTATTTTTTTCGGTTTTCTTCTCCAGGACTGTGTGCACTATCCATCAGCAACGATAACTGTTACTTGGCGTACCCAGGTAGTGCAACAATAGGAGAAGTCCAAGTGTTTGACACAGTCAACCTGGTGAGCGTGAACTACGGCCTGTTGTTGCCTTTGACTTTGGAGCTACTTTAGTTTATGGTGTTTTTCTTGTATTATTTTTTTTTAGCGAGCAGCCAACATGATTCCTGCTCATGATAGTCCATTAGCTGCTTTGGCTTTTGATGCCAGTGGAACCAAACTGGCAACAGCGTCAGAAAAAGTAAGCTGTGTAAAAAAACATTATATTAAAATGTATAATTTACTAACTCTACCACCTCTTAGGGAACAGTTATTCGTGTGTTTTCCATCCCTGAAGGACAAAAGATTTTTGAATTTAGACGAGGGGTCAAGAGGTAATTGAGTCCAAATCAGTTTTTTGTAAAATTGTCATGATTAAAGTTGATATGAGGCAGACTAATGCATTGGTTTGTGTCCCAGGTGTGTGAGCATCTGTTCACTTGCATTCAGCATGGAAGGCCTGTACCTATCAGCCTCCAGCAACACAGAGACGGTCCACATTTTCAAATTGGAGACGCAAAAGGAAAAATATGTGTATGAGTCCCTTTTGACACTCATCCATGAAGCTGTGTTTTTTCAGTGAGATTAATTTTGTGTTGTTCATGTCAGGCCTACAGAGGAACCCGCCACATGGGGAGGGTATCTTGGCAAAATGTTGATGGCGTCTACAACCTACCTGCCTTCTCAGGTCACAGAGATGTTCACCCAAGGACGGGCGTTTGCCACTGTGCGCCTGCCTTTCTGTGGCCACAAGAACATCTGCGCCTTAGCTGTGTGAGTCTCACATTCAGAACACGTTTTTTTAATGATATATAGCACAGTGTAGCTGTAGTGTTGTGTGAGAAATGTATTAGGTAAAATTATTCCTGTTTATTTTACATTTTCTAATGCATCCTTTTTTTAAATCAGGATTCAAAAGATTCCGAGGCTGCTGGTGGCAGCAGCTGATGGATATTTGTATCTGTACAATCTGGACCCACAAGAGGGAGGAGAGTGTACACTAATGAAGCAGCACAGGTATCAGAAGCAATCGCAACATTTAAATATAATATTGAAGTTTAATCTTGTCCTTTGTTCTCAGGTTAGATGGCAGTGCTGAGCCATCTAATGAGATCCTGGAACAGGGGTCACATGACCGCCCACTTGTGGCTCAAACGTACAGTGCAGCAGTTACAAGAGGTAATAGTCTTCAACCCTTTATATTATTCTCCTGGAAATAATGTAATAGTCTTTATTTTAATGTTTTATATACTGTGAAAAATTCAGTGAAGGCTCCAGTTTTCTCTAGTTAATGAAGTAATGTATAAAACAACCCTGTATTGTCTCTTAGGTAACTGTGAGGAGCAGGGTGCGGTGGGCGGGGCAGAGGAAGACCTCAGTGACCTGCGTCTCGAAGAGGAGAATGAGCAGCCGCCGCTCATATTAGAAACGGACTGAACAAATGGACAGGTGTGTCCACCAATCAGAAAGCCCCTCTGCTGCAAACGTGACATGAGGGGCAGGATAAGATGGGGGTATTTTTCAAAGCTTCAAAAGCCTGTCTTACGTTGCGTCTGTCCATCTACATTTATGTCCACATTTTAATCTTTGATTTCCCCATTTTTATTCTCCTTTTTTATGTTATCCCTGCTGCTTTGCATGTACATGTGCCAACTGCATACATGCTCCAACCATGTGGCATTGCTGTGAGTGTGACGATGTAAAATATTTGATTTATAAAATGTAGCTGTGTCCAAAAAAAGGCACAACTCCACACAGACTGTAAAATATAAGTGATGTGAAAGTGCCTCAGTGTCATGGTTAATTCTGTGAGAAAACCTCTGCAATGACTCAATAAATCTGTTCTTTATCAGATCTTATTACCAATGTGTTCAGTACTTTTGTTTTACACCATACGCTCTCTCTGATGAGGGGAGTAACCCTGAGCTTTCGGCATGAGTGACCACTGGCTCATTGACCTTTACTGCTGGGCATGTACATTGGCTGAACTGAGCAGTGACTACATCTGCATACACCTGATACCACCAGGCTCCCTCCCATTGACCTCCTCATTTGTTACTAATTTGAACTCTTAATGTAAAGACCTTTTAAAAACCTACTCATCCAATCATACATAAGGATTTGTCATGTTGACGGTGATGTACTGTGTCTTTGAAGACCTTGAGGCGGTCACTGACAAAGTGAACCGCTCTGCTGTACTTGTATATTTCCACTGTAACATACTGTTCAGGTCATAGTGTTTTGAAGGAGATAAAGGAGGATTCTGCATGATTCTCTAGTCCTTTTAATTCAAAAGGATGACCAATGTCAGACGTTTGTAACAATTTTGTACAGAATGTGAAATATTAATTTGATCCTTGAAAATAAACTCATATTGATGTATTGAATAGCTTGTGTTCATATGAATCGTCCTTTGAAACAGGTTATTTTTATAAAGCAATTTTTTCTAATCTCATACCAGTTCCCATTGTTGCCTTTGTATAGCTGAATTTAAGGGAGACAATTGAAAGTGGCTTAAATTGTTCAAGTCTTAATGCTGAATTATTTTTATTATTTAGAGGGGAAATAAGTGGTTTAATATCCTTGCTTTTTATTGTGCATCTCAAATTTAACCAAGCACCTTTTTCGAGAAAATGATACCACAAAAGTATCTCATTAAAAAACATGCTATCTTTTACATACTGAGAGTGGATTGGCTGGGTGAGAATTGGCCTTTCTATTTTGATCTAAAGATGTAACAGAGGCCAATAATACATGCATGTGAAAACTAGTGAAAGAAACTGTTTTAAGAGCTAGGGTCAAGTTACATTAATTTGATAAACATAACATAACTACAGTAAAGAAAACAACATACACAGTAAACTTCATTTTGGTTTATTATTCTACTGCTGTTAAAGGGACGGGTCACACTTCAGCGTGAGCGACACACTCAGGTGGGCTCTCTATCGTTGACGTGAGAACACAGCTCTTCCACCATTCTTTTCAAATGCAGGCACCAAAGAAAAGGCAATTGACAAACATATAGAAACGAGAACACTGGACAATAGCAAAACTACATAATACACACATTTAGATTCAACACATATTGTAGAGCAGGGGCGTCAAACTCATTTTGGTTGAGGGCCGAATAAATAATTGGGGGCCGAAAGAATAAAAGTGGTTTTCCTTTATTATACATATGTTTTACTTTATGAAGATATCTTTATACATTTCTTGTTTCACATTAGTTTGATTGGATATTCTTTTCTGATTAAAATTATTTCTGTTAATGTGGAGAGATGTAATGAAGACTTGTTAAAAAAATATATTTAACAATATAACTTGTAAATATATGTTGCCATTGTTGCCTATCGCCATCAATGCTGCACCTTAATATAATAATTTAAAATGAGTTTGACATGCCTGCGGTAGAGGACAGAAAGTAAGCCGTGACCAAAAGCACACGATAACAGAAGGGCCAAATCTTAGGCTAGACTAGTTAAGACTTTAGGTGATGTTTTCTTGTTTTAAGATTTTCCAAAGGCATTTTAAGACTTCATTTAAGCACAGACTTTCCAAAGGCATTTTAAGACTTCATTTAAGCACATTGTCCCGCCCTTTCAGTGATGCTTTCTATGTGCAGCTGGTGGCCATGTGTCACCCTGAAGATGATAGAGGAAAACGTTTAGTGATTTTCTTTTGTGGGTTATCATTGTGTTACTTCTTACCTGCTGAGCGCGAGTGTCTAAAGCTGTGTCTAATCTCCCTGTGCCCCACCGGCTGGTTTAGTGACCTGCACAATCTCCACTGAGGTGAAGCCCTTTGATGTGGACGCTCGGTTCCTGGTTCGCAGTTTATTCAGAGCCATTTCGGCCATTTCAGCTCTCTCCTCTGCGTCATCCAGCTCATGCACAGTTTTCCTGTATTTAGAGAGGCTGCTGTTCGCCTGCTCCTCCTGTCGTGAAGTAAGATTCAAGTTTGGACATATTTGGTTTTGTCAAAAAGTTTTACTTGAACTTACAGCATCTTCTATCTGTCGCTTGTAGGACTTCAGCTTGTTCTGCAGTTTTTCCACCAGCTCCTGCATGCGCTGGTTGGTCTTGTGGTCCTCCTCCGTCTGGAAGATCAATTCTTTCATTCTACGCTCTCCTTTGCGCAGGTTTTTCACGGTTTCACCATGTCGCTTCTGCTCCTGGTCAAACTCATTCTCCAACTCTTTAATCTGCAAAAATGTGTCACCATCCCTCAGACTTGTGATAGCATCCATATATCATTATATTACAAACTGTAAATAATGTGTATTCAGACCTTGGTCTCCAGTTTCTGGATAGTTCGTTTGCCTGCTTTCAGAGCCAGCTGCTCTGCTTCCTCTAGTTTCAGAGTGAGCTCTTTAAGAATTTGCTCTTGGTTCTTCTTCACCTTTTCCAGGTGGGAGCTGCGGTCCTGCTCCTGGCGAAGCTCCTCACACAGACGAGTTGCCTGTATTTAATGATAATGATGACAATACAACATTTCTGATGGTGTTGGCAAAATGTTCACAGCTCGAATGAAAAAGAAGAAAATGCACAAACCACTTACATCAGTCACAGCCTTCTTGGCTCTTTCATCTGCAGCACGAAACTCTGAGATGAGCTCTTCATTCTCTGTGGAAAGTTTTGTGAGGTCTGCCTCCAGTTTTCTTTTGAGCACCATCAAACTCTGATTCTAATCGTAAAGGAAACATATTGAAGCAGAACTTATTGAATGCATAAATGTTGTGCCTCTTGGGTCTAAGCGAACACCTGCATGCTGATCTCGTGGAACCTCTCTGTGGTGTCCACCAGCTCCTGTTCGATCTGTTTCCGCGCCCTCTCAGACGCCTCCAGTCCTCCACGGAGCTCTTCCATCTCCGCTTGCATGAGACATAAGCGGCGCTCCTGCAGACTGTACTTCTCCCGGAGCTCATCGTGGAGCCTGCCATCCTCATCCATCTGCACCTGCAGATCCTGCGCACACACAAGGACGAGAAAGTCTTCATGCGTGCACTTCACAGAGCCACATTTCTGCTCACACAGTAACAATAGTCCTCTTACTTTGATCTGCTGCTGCAGCTTCTTCAAGGTTTTCACCAGTTCTGCATTGTTCCTGTTTGCATGCTCCAACTGAATCTCCATTTCATTTAAGTCTGTCTCCATCTTCTTCTTCATCCTTAGAGCCTCAGCACGACCTTTGGCCTCTGCCTCCAGGCTGGCTTGGAGCGACTCAAGAGCACGAGCATGGTTCTTTCTGAACAGAGACAGGACCATGCTCAATACTCAAACGCAATATTTGTAAAACTAGTGTAGAAACTAGGTAAACTTTGTGGAACCATTTGATTTGTACTTTGATGTAAAAAATATCAGCTTACTGTTTCTATTTTAAATGACCACAATAGTATCAAATATGAGAAAGATACAGCCCTCTGTCACACAGGCCAGAGATTGTGCATGTGCTGACCTGGTGACCTCAAACTCCTCCTCCTTCTCATGGATCCTGCGGTCGATGTCAGCCTTGACCTGAGCGAGCTCCAGCTGCACTCGCACCAGTTTTCCCTCCTCCACCTAAAACACAACACACACATTATGCCTGCGCTTGCAATAAATCTGTATTTAGTCGTGTTGTGCACCTCCAGACAAGCCTCTGCTTCCTCCAGAGCCATTCGCAGCTCCTCCCTCTCCACCTCCAGCTTCTTTTTGGCTTTCTGCAGCTCGTGGACACTTCTGCCTCCTTCTCCAAGCTGATCAACTAATTCCTTAATCTCCTCTGTGGATAAGTCACAATTTAGATGTTATAATGATTATCTTTTTATAAGCTAAGTACCTGAAAGGGACTTGTTCTCCTTGCGTATTGTCTCCAAGTGATCGAGGCTCTCCTCATAGGCAGTCTTGAGTTTGTACAGCTCTGTCATGTAGGAGCGGCTTTCCTTCTGACTGGTCTCCAGCTCCAGCTGCAGTTCCTCATTCTTTTGGTGCCACTCGGCGGCCATCTTGTCAAAAACTCGCTGTTTCTTATCCAAAGCAGCTGCAGCAGCATTTGACTAGTAACGCAAAATCATTATAATCATATATACTGTAGCATATTAGTTGGACAAGAGAGCGCACTTTCTTGTCTTACCTTCTCTAGGTCTATGGTGAGGTCCTCCACCTCACCTTGCAGTCTCTGCTTCACCTTCTCCAGGCTGGCTGCCCTGGCTTGAGCTGCTTCAGCGGCCTCCTCTGCCTCTTGGAGACGCACAGCAAGTTTGCGCCTAAATTTGTAAAAAGAGTTTTGTTTTGAAAAAGGGTACTGCGTATACAGTGCTGTGTACAGTGAATCTGTGTGTGGGACATTTTGTATCTCAGGATGTAGGATTAAACGGATCATTATTGTATTAAACAAATGGTTAACTTTTGGTTCAATACTGACTCTTGTGAGCTCATAAAGTACTCATTTGTTTACTTGGTTTCCTCCAGCTCCTCAGTGCGATGGATGGCGTCTGTCTCGTATTTGGTTCTCCAGGTGGTGACATCAGCGTTGAGTTTGGACACCAGGCGCTGTAGCTCTCCTCTAGCCTCAGACTCCTCTTCCAGCTGCTCCTTTAGCAGGGACAGGTCATGACGAGCATTGGCCAGACCGATCACTGCTGTGTTACGGGCCTACACCACAACAGGAGATTGTTCAGAGGCCAGGAGTGACACTGTGACACTGCCCATATCAGGATGTGAGCTGTACCTTGCTCTCCTCGTCCACCTGCCTCTTCAGCTCATCCACCTGTAAGGTGAGTGTGGCCTTCAGCCTGGTCACCTGGGTCAGCTTACTCTGCGCATCCTCCAAGTCCCTGCTCAGGTCGTTGTTCTCAGCTTCATGAAACAGTAACAGATTTATATTATTGGGAACGATTATGCAATAGGTCATTGCCAGTAACATCACATATGATATAAGCTGTACTAAAAAGCATTTCTCATTTCTCTATGACATGATTATTACCAGTCAAGTGGATTTTGGCAGTGTTGAGTTCTGTTTGCGTGCGCTCCATCTCAGCCAGACGAGCGTTGGCCTCTGAAAGATTGTCCTCCAGCCTGTGGGCGTGAGCGTCAGAGTTCACCTGAGATACAAATGCATTTAGTTTGTTTGATCAGTCAGAGCTTGTGTGTGGTTCTACCTTTGCTTTATGCGTGGCCTCCAGCGTGGAGTTGAGGTCTTCAATCTCAGCTTTCATGCTCAGCTTGTCCTTCTCCAGTTTGACCTTGAGACGGGTCAGGTTCTCCAGCTGCTCCCCGAGCTCAGCCATCCCGTCCGAGTGCTTCCTCCTCAGGGCAGCTGCTGTGGCCTCAGACTGCAGCGCGGCCTCCTCCAGCTCGCGCCTTAGCTTCAGCAGCTCTGCCTCACGCTTCCTGTTCTGCTCAATCTGATTCACAGAGAAACAGATACATGTTTTTAGTTCATTCTCCGTCAGAGAGAATTAACTAAAATCCAACTCACCTGAGTAACAGTGGCTCCTCCCGCCTCTTCGAGTCGGTCACTGAGGTCCTCTAGATCACGTGACAGGTCGGCCCGCTGCTTCTCCACCTGGCAACCATTCAACATTTTGGAATTATTATTCAATATATAGAAAAATAATGTTGATTTGATGACCAGAAATGGGTTTTCTTTTGCCATGGATCCTACTTGTACGACTGAGGGATTCTGCAGACATAAATATAGAACACTCTATGTTAAGAAAGTTACCTTGGCTCTCATGGCCCGTTCAGCTTCCAGCTCTTCCTCAAGCTCCTCAATGTGCGCCTAATAAAATGTATAACAAACATATTTTAAGTTTTGATGTTTTTAATATTTCCCATCGTCATAGTTACAAACCTGGTGCTCTTTCAGTTTACGGCTGAGCATTGTGCTGAGCGCTTGTTCATCCTCCAGCTTTGCATTCATGTTGTTTATCTCAAAGTCTCTCCTGAAAAGTTCATCTCATTATTAAACTCTGACAAATGTTCTCAGTTTACATTACATTTGATTATAATGAGAGATACTTCAAACTAAATCATCACTGATGACTTAATAAAGCAATAACTAATGATCAAAACAAATATTGTAAGAAGAATCTTACTTCTTGATGACATCTTCCAAATCCAGCTTGGCATTTTCCATCTCATTCAAGTTTTCAATGGTCATCTTCAGATCGCCTTCTACTTTTCTCCTGGCTTTCTCCACCTCTGCCCTGATCCTCTTCTCCTGTTCCAAACTGTCCTCCAGCTGCCACCAACACATGAACAGTATGTAACATACGTATATATTTACAGGAAGCATACAGTACGTCATATTTAATATGTATATTATATAATGTTATTTTGCTACGTGCCTCATTCACTTGGGTGTTGAGTTTGCTGTTGGTTTTGGTTAAGTGGTTGACTTTGTCTTCCTCTGTTTGGAGATCATCTAAGGTTTTCTAAATAAAAAACACATCATGAAAATGACGATCCATGTTATTCCATGTTGAGGTTCCACTGACCTGTTGCAGTTCCTCCAGAGACCTCTTCTCTTTGTGCAGCTTGGCCACAGTGTCATCCCTCTGGTCCAGTTCACCAGTCAGAGTCCGCACTTTAGAATCTAAACTCTAAAAAATCACATTCAAATTACATTGTCATTTTTGATCACTTGTGTGGATAAACAAAACCAGGGCTCTGTTTGTGGTGACCTGTTTCTCCTTTTCACTCTTGGCAAGTGTGGATTCAAGAGACTCCAGGTCCCTCTTGAGTTCAGTCATCTCTCCTTCAAGTTGCCTCTTCTGGCTGTGCAGAGCTGCTGAGGACCCCTCCTCTTCCTCCAGACGCTCACGGAGATCCTGACACACAGGAACAAATATTTAAACGACATTGCATATTCACATACTGTATTACTTCAAAGCTTATTGAAGCTTATTAATTCTACAGCCAATCTGTGTTTTTAAACATGTGTGAAGCACCTGGGCTGATTCTTCCAGCTGAACCTTTTGGTGCATCAGCTGAGTACATCGCTCTTCTGCATCTCCCAGCATGTCCTGCTCCTGTTGTCATCAAAAGCAGCATTTTTTAAGACTGTTTGTTCTTGTTAGAAGTGTATCTTTGTTCTTGTTAGAGGTGCATGTAAGTGTGCACTTACAGCAGACAATGCCAGGGTCAAGTCACTCTTCTCCTGGGACAGAGTGACTGTCTTTTCATCCAGATCTTTGATCTTTGCCTCCATCACCTTCACTTTCTCCAAGGCCACTCTCAGCTCCTCCTCTTTGGCCTTAAAGATATCCTCCTGACGAGCCACCATAAGCAGGGGCTTTACCTATCCATGAAGGTGCAGAGGGGAAGCACAGATTTGACTTGTGAATGTAGTTTCAAGTATTAAAGCCATGTCAACTATACATGAGAAAGTAGAAAGCAAAAGTTTACTATTGTCTCAATGCCACAATATTGAGAGAAGTCATTCTTCTAAATGATTTACAGTCATAAGTTTAACTTCAGAGAGTGAGAAGAAAAAATTCAATAGCTTTTTCACGTGTAAATATAATGTAGAGTAAATGAAAGTGCTCACTCTGGTGTAGAGCTTCCACCATCCCCAGAAGCGCAACTGAAGGAACTTCCTCACGTTTCGTTGGATGGCCATCAGTGCAATTCTACAGGACGCATAAATCAGTGTTGAAAGACACAAAATCAGAGCTCAGACTTTGACTAGAGTCTCACTGACCGTCGATCCACCATCTTCTTAAACTCCATCCTCATGAGGGCACCTCTGAGGCGCGCCTGGAACAAAGTGATGACCTTGGTCAGCCGTTCATCACGCATGTCCTCCAGCTTTGCCAGGACACCGGCTCGGAAAAACACCTGAGCAGACAGGACCGTTTACAGGAGAAGTTGAACTATGTTTCACATATTTGTTGTGTAAACTATAAACCTTTGTATGCCCGATACGGTATTCCATACTGTCAAGGTCTATTGAACTTAGAATGAGTTCCGATGCTTTCTTGTTGTCAACAAAACCCTTTGGCATCACGCTGGGATTGAGGATGTAGTACCTGAGATTACACACAATACATGATAACAACAGGAGAACCTTCAGGTGTATCTCAGTGTGAGCGACGTGTACCAATACCTCTGCTTGAATTCAGGGTACTGCATTCTGTTGGGGAACCCCTTCCTACAGATGCGGATACCCTCCAGAACCCCATTACAAGCCAGCTGGTGCAGGATCAGATGATTGTCTGTCACACCTTAACCACAAAAAGAGTATTTTAGTTCTATACAGTGCATATTTCTGTGCTAATGCTGTCATCTAATTCACAGCCTTTTTCAAACAATTTTCCTTTTATCTCTTGGATAAAACTAATATATTTGAACAAAAATTGCATCAGATTCTTACCACTAGTGGTCACCAAAAGGGACCAATAAACCAGGGCAGCTAAGATTCTGTATGTTGGTGTTTCTCAAACAATGGTACCTAAACTCTTTCTTGTGAGAACGTCTGATATTAATGATTTACTAAATCAAAGTAACACATATTCATATTTATTTAATCCTGGCTTTGATGCCTTGAAAGAAAATGAAGTCAAACCTAAACAAATGAGCGGTAAAAATATCTAATGCAATATTTTATTTAATACATTTCACTCGCAACAGATTTCAGGCTTTTGCAGTTTTGCAGTTATATTTCCCCACTGACCTGACTGCTTGAACTCATTTGGTACAATGCAGCGGACAAAGTGAGGGGCAGTGCTACGAAGGGTGCTCATCAGCTTGTTCAACTGTTCCTGCAGCACACACACAGAGAGACACACACACACACACACACACACAGAGAGACACAGTGGTTTGTGGGTTTAAAGGAGAAGTGTAATGTTTGCACAGGTGTGGATGCTCTGTGTGGGTGACTGACCCTGTAGAAGTTGGAGACCGTTTGGAAGGAGGATCCCTTCTTTTGTTTTTTAGACCCGGCTGTGGTCTCTTCCTCTCTGAAGAGCACGGCCAGGAGAGGCATGGACGACTTCTGGAACAGGCCCACCACGGTCTCATTCAGGGGGTCTTTATTCTTCTCTAGCCAGCCGCTTATGTTGTAGCCAACCTTAGACAAGCAGCACAAACATTGAAACGACTGAACTGCTCAGACATCTGCCTTTAACTGTCACTGTAGGACTAGAAGTGGGGAAATTTCAATGTTGCAGCGCACATACAGAACAGTAGTAAGAGCACACAGGGAGCACACAAATGTAAAATATAAGTAGCAGATAATTTTCTTAGCTAGCTGGAAATGCTTCAATACCTACAGGATTTATGATACTTCAGTTTTGTGTCAAGGAAGGGTCACTATACGGTTCAGTGCTTTTTATTATCACTATATTTTAGGATGGCTAAAGCAGCCTCAGGGCGGACAGACACACCCTCCGTCGTGAGCACAGAACACGGCATGTGTGCTGCAACCAAACCACAAGGCCACACTGTGCAGCTTGTGACATCTCTTCAAACCAATATTATAGCAAACAGCTGTAGTTGCTCTGAATACAACATAAGCTCTGTATATGTGCCTTAGCTCTGCTTCAATAAAAAATAGTTTGACCTGTAACTCACAGTGCCGGCATAGTGCACCAGTTCAAAGTGTGCTTCCGATCCTTTCTTTCCCCCTTTAGGCTTGAGGAAGTTGGAGGATTTTCCAAGATGGTTGTCATGGAGAGCCGCTTTGAAGGTAGAGTCAGTCGCCTTTGGGAACACACACTGCTCTTCGAGGATGGAGAATATCCCCATGGGCTGAGTACAATAAATAAAAATTTTTATTAAGTGTTTATCCAGTGTTAACCCTCTCAGGGCCCAATTAAATTTGAATGACAGGTAAATTTCAGATATTTGCCAACAATCATATGGGATAGTATTATACAATCCTTTTTTGAGCCACTAAGCAATACAATTTATTTACAATGTATTCTTGTATAGCCCTAAATCACAACAGTAGTCATCTCAGAGGACTTAACAAAACCATTGAAATCACCAACACAGATCGGAGAATCAACAGTTAAGAGACAAAAATAATACAGAGCACATATTGATAAATGTTCAGACATGGGGTAGAATGTTAAATGGCCCGGATCATCATCACAGTCCTTTTTGTTAGACACTAACTGTCCAACAGACCCTCCTACATCGGCAAGGAAAAACGTATATGAAAAACCCAGTGGGAAAAAAGTGAGAAACCTCGGGGTGACCCACATATTGAGAGAGGGATCCGCTCCACAAGGACGGACGGGCTATAGATCCAGGACCTAAGCTAAAGGACGTGGAACAGGGCCACGCAGCGGCCCAGGTCAGGACAGGTCAGGTCCAGTGCAGGACTGAAGCAGCTCCCAGGCGGGTCGGGCAGGGCAGTCCGCAGATGGAGTAGGCCATCTACACCTGCGTGGTACTTTTGAGTAAAAACGGGGTCAAAATATGGATGTGGAGTAGTTAGGTTATAAAAAGAGTTATTGCAAATCTGCAATGCCTGCATGAAGAGGATGAATCCATAATGTGTTGGAGCTCTACCTTCTCCAGCAGGTCGATGCAAGCCTGCAGATCCAGACCAAAGTCGATGAAGACCCAGTCGATGCCCTCTTTCTTGTACTCCTCCTGCTCCAGCACGAACATGTGGTGGTTAAAGAACTGCTGCAGCTTCTCGTTGGTGAAGTTGATGCAAAGCTGTTCAAAGCTGTTCAACTGAGAGACAAGCAACAATATTTTTTCAATACTGTGTAAAAGAAATGGAATAAAAATTACCAAAAAAGTGTCTTACATCAAATATCTCAAACCCTGCGATGTCCAGCACTCCTATGAAATACTGTCGTTGCAGTTTGGTGTCCAGGGTTTTGTTTATGCGTGTCACCATCCATTTAAACATTCTGTCATAGATGGCTTTGGCAAGAGCACCAATGGAGTACACACACTGGTCCTGGTTTTGACCTGAGGGTTTAAGATTATAAAAGCGTAATGTAATTATTTACTTCAGATATTTGAACGTTTTTGACTTACCTTTAGTCACAAACTCATTCCCAACTTTCACCCTGGGGCGTGTCAGTCCTTTTTGCAGCTCACCAGAGTTAATTGCCATGAGGTGGGCAACTTTGTCAGCCACTGTCAGACACACAAGTGGTTTTTATTTTACACATAAGTTGGAAACAGAAACATAGAAAGAAAGGAGTAAAAACATAGGTTGGTGTAAGATGCATCACATGAACTCTAGAGGTGCTTGATTTATGTTTGATGAAAGAGAAAAAGTACCCTCAGTAGAGTCAACATCAGCCTGCTCCTCTCTGGCTTTCTGTTTGAACTTCATGTTGCCGAAGTGCATTATGCCTCCAGTCAGCTTGTATACACTCAACTTCTCATCGGGAGTGAAGCCCAGGACATCAAACGCTTCCTTTAAAACATGAGAAAAGACCTCTGTAAAACCTGTGAGCTGCACAGTGCTGATAAGACATTATGTCCCTATGATAGAAGTTCATAAATCATTTATATTAAACCAAGAGAGTGGTCAGTTACATCAGTGAGGAGCAGTTCCTCCCCGTCGTCCATGTTGTCCACCACAGTGACCCCCTGACACACCCACACATACTGCTTTGGATCGGGCTTCAGGAGCAGAGCCTCTGCAACATACAGGAGTGAAAGTTATTATAGAAACAGGACACACACTTGCTATGATGCTGATATTAACTAGTGTGAATAGTTTCAATACAAATATTTAGCGTACCTGTAAGTTCTGGCTTCCTCCCTGACAGAAGCTGGTAGAAGATGTGGTATCCTCTTTCTGTAGACTGCTGGGATATCACCCGAGATTTCTCCAGCAGATCTAAAATACAGAGATGTTTTAATTTGAAAACAACCAAAAGAAAATGAATGAAGTATATCCATACAGTTTTACACTAAACAAAAATGTGTGAAATACTGTATATGTAGAAATATGTGTAGAAATAAGTGCACTCACAAGTCTCTATGTCAGCACCCGCCAGCTTAGCTGTTGGTCCGAAGTGGATACGAATGAACTTTCCCTGTAGGATGAAGTTAAATCATCATCATCATCATCCTCAGCATTTTAACAAGAGAAAATGTAACTTACAAAGCGGGAGGAGTTGTTGTTCCTGATGGTCTTGGCGTTACCAAATGCCTCTAGCACTGGGTTGGCTTGAATGATCTGATCCTCCAGTGAGCCCTGAGAGGAAGAATATTGTATGCAACAAATTAGAACCATACGACCGGAAGGAGATTTTTCATGGTACACATACAGTACAGAAAGTGAACATTTTTCTTAACCAATTGGCACAAATCCACAATATTGAGAGAGAATGATCTATATTAATTGCTACAAATTTAGAAGTTTAGAATGTATTTATCGAAATACTAATACATGCCTTGGAATCCGAAACTTTACTCCCAGATGCTCCAACGTTAGCAAAATACTGGATGACCTTTTTGGTGTTCTCAGTCTTGCCAGCACCAGATTCTCCGCTACAAAGTAAAACAAATTAAAAGCTATACAACAACTTAAGATTGCAAACCAGTTCAATAATAATGTGGAAATAAATATGAAAAGTCCTGGTGAATATCTGTTTTGGATACTAGATACCTCAGACTTGTACTTACGTGATCAACATAGACTGGTTTTCATGCTCTGTAATGAGAGGACATAAGGAGAGCAGTGTGAGAGGGATGGGGGTAATTCCTGATGAGTTCCCACTGAGTAGATCAGAGAGTTGAGGATGTTTCTGCCCTGTGCTTAACGTTGCTCCTGTCAGCGCTCTCAGCCTCACAGACAGCTGTCCGCTTTCCCCTGACTCCACATAATGGCTTCAAAGTATTTTCTACTCCCTGAACAAATCACCACACGGCACACTGATTACGAACCAGAAGCAACTGCCCCGCTCCCTGGATCCCCATACAACTGTGTAACGGCTGTCTAACAACTCTCTGGGGGGTCCTCCTCAGCACCACGCATCACTCGCATGTCTATTTCACAACACTGTCTCGACCACTCATCAGACCTGTTGTTGTCTCTGCTTCTCTGATTATAATTATTTTCCCTTCTTCATTGACCCCTGCTGTCGGTCTCAAAATGCATTCTACACAATCAAGCTCTCTCACCTAACAACATGTCGTGGTAGGCGTTGTCGGAGACGGAGAAGAGATGGGGAGGAACCTCATTGCGTTTCTTCCCCTTGTACAAATGGGCCACTTTTGCTCCATAGATGGGCAGCCATTTATACGGGTTGATGGTCACGCAGAAAAGGCCTGAGTAAGTCTGCAGGAGAGAGAAAGGAGAGCATACTGAACCGCATGGCCTCTGTATGTGGTTAAATTAAGGCCGCTCCCATTCATAATCTTTCAACTATAATTGAACATGTCTTTTTTTGGAATCATTTGTCATGTCCATCGCCTTCTATGTATAGCTTTTTGGACAATATGAGTTGAATTATATGTTATGTTTAAATTATGACTTTTTATTATAGCATAAATGTGACTAAATTACACTAGACTTGATAAAAAGAAGGATTGGCTTCAGTTATTTCTTCCAGGATGGAATTGAATAGTTTACATGAGCTATATAAAAATAAATAGCAGTATTGGGTTTAATAACAGACTTACATAGATCCTCATGCTGACATAGCGGCTGCGCAGGTTTTCCATAACGCTGGCCTCGTTAAGGAATGTGAGGTTGGCCATGTCGCTGGCCTGGTAGAACTTTCCTTCGGCACCACGATTGTCTACAAACAGTGACGTTATCACAGCTTAATATGATTATAAGACAGGAGAAAGTACTGACATTCTGAGTGTGTTCTCTTACAGTTCCTTTGGATGTCTTGACAGTAACTCTGTCTCCGTCTTCAGACTGAATATCTCCAGATACAAACGCCTCCTTGTCGTCTTTGACCCAGCAGGAGCGCTTGATGTCGTAGGGTGCATTCATGGCATCCAGGCGCTCCTTCTCAGAGGCCGCCAGGAACACCATAGGATCCACATCATCCCCACACTCCCCTTTGTAACCTCCTGGCATGGCTGCTGCTGCCACGGGATGCCAGACAAGTGGAAAACCTGCTTACACACTCCCTGGGAAGACCACTGTGGATATAAACACACTTTGTTAATGTAAATGTGGAAAAGTGTCTTATCTTTTATTGTGACAAATGACAGGATTCTAAACTAATGAAAAACATTCTGCACCATATACAAATCCATGAACTGGCTGTATACTGTTTACTACAAGTACCTTTTGTATTTGGCAATCCTGTTGCCTCAAGTAGATTGGAAACAGATAATAAAGAATTTCATATTATACGAATAACATTTGTAACAACATCATAATAACTTTGTTTGAAATGTGTCCTTTGCACGGACTTTATTTTCATTCGACAAGCAATCACTTCTGGCTTAATATAATATCTATCTATAAAATCTATCAAACCATGACAAAAATTGTATCTAAAAATATTGTTGTATTACAATTCAAACTTGAAAACAGAACAGTGCAGACAGAATACAGGAGGAACACTCACCAAAGCAGGAGGCAGGGGTTTGTTCCTGGGCGTGTATTGCTGCTTACATGCATGGCTTGTTATATATCGCCCCAGCTCCCCCTGATATGGTCACAGCTCTAAAACCAGCCACTGCCCAAAGGTCTCATCCCTTTGCTCGATCCTGACAGCCACGGAACAGGGAATTCTTCAATATGCTGCAGCTCCATTTAAGGTTTCCCTGGAAAGTCATCACTGGAGCAGAGGCCATCTTCTCTCCACACCCCATCACTCACCGGCCCATCCCTGAGCCTGTCACACACCTGGGGCTCCGAAAGCAGCTTCCTTACCGCTCTACAGCCCGGGTTCAGATATCAGGGACATTTGTTAGAAAAAGAAAAAGTGTTTAAACTTCAAATAATAATAACATTTAGAAAGAAAAATAAAAACAGTCTCATGCTTGCATTGATAGTTTCCAATTTATGTCAATAACAGGGGTGACCATGCCACCTTACTTCTATATGATTATATAACAGTATTCAATGGGAGTATTAATGATGACAAATACAATAGTATTATACAGTATTAGGTAAGACTGGCCTTCATATTAACTTAATACCTTCAAGTTCAGACACAACAAGATAATTCTAAGTAGTTTAACTACGCCAATGTAGTCAGTTTAATTGGACCAAAGACGAAATGACGTTGTGGTGGTTAAGAGCCTTGTCAAGTTGCCAACCCTGGGCCTAACTGTGGTGGTCTACTCTGTATGAGTGGAATGATTTAAGTAGTCCACTCAGCTGGTCTCAAGAGCGCCGCCAGTACACAGAATTAAACACAAACACAAACTAATCACATAATGAGACCAACAGTTGTTGCTCTCATCACTTATCCCCAGCAGAAGTCTGTCCATCTGTGGAGTGATGGCAAGTTTAAGCATAGAACAATAATATTTTAGTATCAAATGTAGACAATGTTTGATGTTTCAGCTACTGAACATCAGTTTCTAACATGTATTAGTATTAGATAGCAATATGGCCTACGTGCAGGACTGTACAAGGACTGTACAAGGACTCCATGTTATGACTATGATGTGACTGTCTCTTTGTGACACGTATGTCTTTCGATGTGTGACGTGACAATGACTATATAAACTGTGTACTGCCTTTATTCTGTCTGAGAGAAAGAAACAGAGTAAACCATTGGAACTTGAGAGAAACTTAAATAAACTTCCAGAGTTTGGCACACCACGATCCGTCTCTGTCTGCTTGAATCCTGACAGATTTGGTGGAGAATGCGCGGCTCCGTGTGTGCCATTCTCTGGATTGTTTTAAGGGAGTTTTTAGGCCCGAGCCCCAACCGGGGTAAGGGCCTATTGCTTTTCCAACGAGTAATGCCTGGGCGAAGCCCAGGCATTACTCGTTGAACTGTTTTAAGTCACAATCTCCGGGCGCAGCCCGGAGATTGTGACCTGCACGCGACGGCACGTGCCCAAGCACTGATAAATCCGTGCCGGAGGCACGGAATGGCTTTGTTCCTGCTGTAGTACACAGTGAAATGATTGAAGTCCTATTAAAGGGGGGTTCCTTCAACTGTCTTACGGACGAATGTCCGGGCAAAGCCCGGACATTCGTCCCCCAAGCCCGACGGCGCGTGCCCAGACACTGACAAAACAGTGCCGGAGGCACTGAATGGCTTTGCTCCTGCTGTAGTACACAGTGTAATGAATGGGGTCCTATGGGGGGGGTGGGTGACCTCATGATGGCGAGGTGATTGACGAGCGCGTCAGCGCTCGTCAATCACCGAGAACCCAATAGTTGCGTTCGTCTGGTCGTTCGCTTTAAAACGACGTATCATTTGTATTATAGGTTACTATGGAAACCTATATTGTTTTTGCTTGAAGATTTAAAAAAAAAAAATTCCTTGGTTTGGTTTGGTTTGGTTTGGTTTATTTATTAGGCCCGAGCCCCAACCGGGGTAAGGGCCTATTGCTTTTCCAACGAGTAATGCCTGGGCGAAGCCCAGGCATTACTCGTTGAACTGTTTTAAGTCACAATCTCCGGGCGCAGCCCGGAGATTGTGACCTGCACGCGACGGCACGTGCCCAAGCACTGATAAATCCGTGCCGGAGGCACGGAATGGCTTTGTTCCTGCTCTAGTACACAGTGAAATGATTGAAGTCCTATTAAAGGGGGGTTCCTTCAACTGTCTTACGGACGAATGTCCGGGCGAAGCCCGGACATTCGTCCCCCAAGCCCGACGGCGCGTGCCCAGACACTGACAAAACAGTGCCGGAGGCACTGAATGGCTTTGCTCCTGCTGTAGTACACAGTGTAATCAATGGGGTCCTATGGGGGGGGTGGGTGACCTCATGATGGCGAGGTGATTGACGAGCGCGTCAGCGCTCGTCAATCACCGAGAACCCAATAGTTGCGTTCGTCTGGTCGTTCGCTTTAAAACGACGTATCATTTGTATTATAGGTTACTATGGAAACCTATATTGTTTTTGCTCGAAGATTTACAAAAAAAATTCCTTGGTTTGGTTTATTTATTATTTCTTTTTTCTTCTGCACTTTGAACCTTAATTTGACCCCCTGAACATTGATGAAAAGTTGTGAAATTTTGCCCAAAATTCAGAACCGGTGAAAAATTTATTTTTTTGGTGTTTATTTTTATGGGACTAAAAAAATACCAGAACAGCGCCCCCTACAAAAGTCAGTTTACATTGCGCCTATGGGAGGGGGTCGAAGGTCAAGTTTGTCGTAGAGCCACGAAATTCGGTACACATGTTCCTCAGGTCAAGACATGAAAAAAAAGTTATTATGGCTCCGCCCCCTGACAAACAGGAAGCTCATTAATTTAATTGGAAAATGGAAAAATGAAAATTGATATTTTTCACACATGTCGGCTGGAAATTATCTCCTCCTCGGCCGCTTCACCGATTTGTCTCAAAATCGCTCCACATGGTCTAAACCCATGTCCCATCTATTATTGAATATAGAATTTGGATCAGTTAAACGTTGTCCGAGCAGCGGAGCGGCAAAATGTGACATGTTTTTTCCAATTTTTCACAAAAGTAAATTTGCTCCCATTTGCACAAAAAAAGTCAGATTTGCACAAAATTTTAATCCATTGTTCAGCTCCAGGGTCTAGGTCATTTGAAAGTTGAAATATTGAAATTGACTCATTAGCGCCCCCTACAGACTATTTCAAAGTTTTACATGGGCCTAATAAAATTTAGTTTTGTCAAAATGTTTGAAATTTTGCACATAATTCTGTTTTGTCATCTGGATTCAAAAAGTCAATGACAACATATGATTATTTTTTACCCTGTTGCCGTGGCGACGACCAACACTCCCCTGTCTGTGTCTATGAGAAAATCGTTAAATCTCTGAAAAGTACACCTCGCTCAAACATCAAACCAGCCGCGGCCGTTTCACTAATTTGTCTGAAAATCGCTCCACATGGTCTCCACACATGGACCATCAATAGTTGCATATAGAGTTTGAATTAGTCAAACGGTTTGCGCCTGACAGACTCCCAAAGTGTGGTTATTTTCATAGAGAGGTGTGAAGTTCCCATGTTATCCAATGGAGACTGTGTGTGGACACACTCACAGATTATATGTGCTCCTGTTTGCACATACACAAACTCTGATTTGCACTAAACTTGACTCGGTTGTTCAACTCCTGGGCCTAGGTCACATGACTGTGTGAACAATGACATTGGCCCATTAGCGCCCCCTACAGGCTGAGTAAAGGTTCACATGGGGATACAGTTATTTGGGTTTATTTGTTTGATCTCATATTTGACCCACTTTACAAACATGAAAACTCACCAAACTTTGCCACAAGTTTTTTTCAGGCATAAAGTGTATTATTTTGGTGTTCTTTGGTATAAGACTAAAAAATTGAAATTGTAGGGGGCGCTGTTTTACAACATAAATGCCTTCCGTTTGCACATACAAAGTCCGATTTGCACAAAATTTGATTTGATAGTCCAACTCTTGGGTTTGAGTAAACTGAACGTGTAAATCATGGAAATGCAGCATTAGCGCCCCCTACAGAGTGATACAAGTGTTACATGGAGAGACTGGGGTTTACCTTTTCAATAGAGACACACAATCACTGATCATAGAAAGTAAAATTACACAGTGTCGCTCCCATCAGGGGGGTAGGAAAATGGCGCGTCAAGGACTCCACAGAGGTGATGGGGGAGTCCATCACGGAGGGTGGGGGCGGGGGGACAGTGCTCTTCCTGAAGTCCACAATCATCTCCACTGTCTTCTGGGCGTTCAGCTCCAGGTTGTTACCCACTGGCACCAGACACCAGCCGGTCCACCTCCCTCCTGTAGGCGGACTCATCGTTGTTGGAGATGAGTCCAATGAGGGTGGTGTCGTCCGCGAACTTGATCAGCTTCACGGAGTCGTGGCTGGAGGTGCAGTGGTTGGTGTACAGGGAGAAGAGCAGGGAGAAAGAACACAGCCCTGTGGGGCTCCTGTATTTATAATCCGAGAGTCCGAGACATTCTTCCCCAGACGCA